TAAACTGTGTGCATAATAAATTATGTAATGACGAAGAGCGTAATTTTCACTTGCAAAAGAGAAAAATGAAAGAAGATGGTTGAATTTGGGCGAGCAACTTGTAAGCAGTTGCTGATCAGTCGTTGGAATCGAAGCTAGAGAGAAACATCGCTCCGCATCTAGAAGATTTAAAAAGTCGGCTACACCACACGTATGGGTGTCCAACTAGTGGATCGATCTCCGGCAGCGGCGGTTCCGGTGACTTTCGGCCTGAAACGTGTGCCTAATTTCACCTATCTTCTACAGTGAGAGAGAATTCAGATAAGGTCGATCGAGAAGAAAGAAAAAGTCAAACAGCAAAAATAGTGAAACTTTGTAGTAGTACACTTACTGACCAGAATTTAATGGTAAAAGAAAAATATTGGGAACTGATGATGAGTTTGAAAACCATGAAAAAAAATATAAAAAAAATTAACCAAATGTTTCCAAGATTTCAACTACCGTCATTACCTAGGTCACCTGTTCTCACTTACTGCAGCTAACTTTACAGTCTTGAATTCAGTAAACCGCATTTACTGCTCTTGTGTTTTTGGTCATCCCACAACTGAAAAAGCTGGTTTGACAATGAGAGCCAGCTTTTTAATTAAATTTTAACCTATGTTTTGATGTGTTACAGTTGTACACGTAATTGTGTTGTAAAGAAACGCACAATTATCGAACCTTAATTGTCACAAATCACAATTTCTTACACATTAATTAAACTACTCCCAAAGAACTTAGGAGTAAGGCAGCTGCAAATCTTACCGACTAGCCGTTAATTATTGTGTGTGAATAAATTAATTATGGAGGGGTCTTAAATGTCAACTGCTTAGTTCACGTCTTCCGATGTAAAAAAACGCGCCTTTTTCTTATAATTAAATCACTTGCTCAGCAGCTTCAGTAGACAGTAGCTGCAGCAGCTATGAATCTGCCCCCTAAATTCTTAGAACCTCATTTAATTGTGTACGATTTTTAACCCCCTTTTTCCTGGACACATAATCTTTTTTTACAATATGGCTACACTAGATTTAATTGAAGTGGTACAGAAAATACAGATATCATAATGCATCCATTTATTGACTTTCAGAATTGAAGTACGTATGCCTCTGCTTTCGACCTATATTTTCGTAATGGTTATCCATGCTACCCACCGATTCTTCCATTGATATTGTCGCATTCATGCTTTATGCCTTTATCATCAGAGCAATAACAATGCGAACTACCAGGCTATTATAATGGGCGCGATTTACCCATCATTGATAGAGTTTAAGATAGAGTTGTTATGAATAACTATTGTATGAAATGATAAGCACGGGATTGTAAATGCGAAGTTAGGGTTTAAATCTGATAGCAGCAATCTTATTATCTTTCTTTTTTAAAAAAAAGAAAAAAAAGTTTCTGATTAGCTAAATCAAATAGTTTAAAGTCTGTTTGTTTCATTTTTTTTTGGTTTTTTCAGATTATTTTATTATTTACTGTCCTATCTCAAAATAGTTTTTCACATTTCTAATACACTTTTTTACATTAACAATACAAAAAACACTTAAAAACACAAACTAAAAAAACGAAACAAACATACCCTTAGTCTTAATCTCCATTACACACGATATGATGAACTTGTCAAGATCAAAAGAACATAATAATATTTCAACATCAGTAGTCCAATCTTTAAAAATGATTAAATTTTTTTTAGAAGTTAATGATCTAATGGACCATATTTGTAACATGACACGACTTGGAATGAAGTACCTGATTTAACAAATTAACACATCGTAAAATTTCAAGTACTTAAGTTAGAAAACATTCATGTTTACATTTACTTTCCGAATTTAACATAGTCTCGTGTTTACCCTTTATATTCTAGCCGACACACTCCGGATGGGTGCTTTGGTTAAAAAATTGCCTAGAAAAAGAAGTAGACAGATCTATTTTTTATTTTTTTTTTGTAAAGCAAAATATGGAGATCGGATTTACAAAATCCGAACTACTAATTAAATTAGTAAATCGGATTTTGAAAATCCGACCTAATAAAATAATATTTTTTTTTGAAAAATACATGTGAAAAATAATATATATTTTTTGTGGTCAAATAATGAACAGTGCAAGGTCGGATTTTCGTTTTTAAAAAAAAATAAAATTAAAGGGCGGAAAATTTTGAAAATTTGAAAATAAGTGAACAGTAAAATCGGATTTTGAAAATCTGAACTTCTTTTTATTAAAAAAAATCTTTAAGTGCAGAAAACATTGAAAATTTTTCCGAGTTGTGATAGAAATTCACATTAAATTGACCTATCTACTTTCAAAAAAATTAAAAAAAAAATTGTATTAGATATTGTAATAATAAAATCTTATATTACTAATAATTAGGAATTTGCATTAAATTGATGAAAAAAAATATATTACTAATATTGTGTAGTACTATTAAAACTGTTAGGAATTTGTATTAAATTAATTCATTATAAATTATCTGTACTAGTGTTATGTACTATTTATATGTACTAGTGTTATATAGTACATTAATACTATTACTCACTACATATCATTGGTATTAGTGTTATTATTACTGTTAAATCTATTAGTCATTAGATATTATCTAGATTAGTGTTACATAGTATCATTAATACTACTACGACATAAGTATCACATATATACTAGTATTACTTATTATTATTAACATTATTACACATCAAATATCACATGTACTAGTAATACAGATTATCATCAACACTGTTACACATTACTACCATTAACATTGTTACCTATTACATATTATTGTTACTATTGATACACATTACTATTAATATTTTTTTTTTATTGTTAATCATTATTTATCATCTGAACTAGTATGACATAATACTATTAATACTGTTATACATTAGATATCACTTATACTACTAATACATATTATTATTAATACTATTACAGATTATTATTATTAATATTATTATCTATTAATAATAATAGATAACACACGTACTAGTGATACATATGTATTAGTATTAGAAAATACTGTCAACTCTGTTACTCAGTACAAAACACACGTATTAATGCTATAAAATACCACATATGTACCAATGGGTAATATTGCTACATCTATTTTTGCGAATTATATTGACACAATATTATATTTGAAATATGAATTTTCAGTTAAAGCAAATTTATAAAAAAAAATCGGATTCTACAAATCCGAATTTCGATAAAATCAGATTTCACAAATCCGAATTTGCTAATACAACTGGATTCCACAAATCCGATTTTAGGGAAAAATCGGATTTCCAAAATACGATGTAAAGAAAAATCCGGAATTCTGAAATCCGATTTTTGATTTAGGTCGAATTTTGTAAATCCGACCTAAATCAAAAAACGGATTTAAGGGTTTAGGGTTTCACTCGGATTTACAAAATCCAACCTAAATCGAAAATCAGATTTAAAAAATTCGATTTTTCCTAAAATCGGATTTGTTGAATCCGTTTTAATCAACAAATTTAGATTTTTAATATCCGAGTTACGTTGAAAGTCGGATTCCCAAACTTCGATTTTATTTTATTATGTGGAATTTTGGAAATCTAATTTTTTTTCCATCACCGGGTTCCTAATGTTCCTTGTATTGGTATGAGCATTGCAAGAATTATAAATTTGAGATATCATTATCAGTTTTACTTTTAAATCCCAGTCTATTTTTTTTAGAAAACAATTCTGTCTAATGTCGGATTTAGCAAATCCAAACTTAGTCAAAACTAAACTAATTATTGTGTTTTATATTTATATGGATGAAAAATAATTTTTGTTATTATTGTGACATATTTTGACTGGTTTAAAAATTAGTTTATCCCTTATTTATATAAAAATAAATCTTGGTGGAAGGTCGGATTTTCAAAATCTGACCTTGTTTTTTTTAAAAAAAAATTGAAGCGCGGGAAAATTTAAAAATCTGAAATTTTAATTGAAAATTTGAAAATATGAAAAAAGTTGAACAGTAAAATCGGATTTTGAAAATCCAAACTTGGTCAAAATTTTATTTTTGAGAAAAAAACTTAATTTTCTTCCGGATATTATTTTTTTATTTACGAAGATCGGATTTAAGAATCCGATTTTTTTTTAATCTTGATTAAGTTAATTAATTTTTGTTATTAACATAAAGTCGGATTTGTGAAATCCGATTTTAAGGCAAGGTCGGATTTTGAAAATCTGATCTCGCTATTTTTTTCTTCTCTAAAATTCAACCTATATTTCTCTCTACTCCTTTTTTTTAACCATTTTTTAACTCTCCGGATAGAACCCAAGTTTGACTTCGTCTTCCGGCAAAAGATGGAACCATAAATTTGGTTAAAAATTTTAATTTAGCCACTTTATAATTACCAAACAACAAGGATTGAAAAAGTTAGGCTCCAATCCAATGTTCCTAACTCCTAAGTAAATTTTCAATAATGGCTTAACCAACTACAACAAAAACGAAGCAAAAGTAAATTTAGTTGCTTCGAAATTTGAATGGTGCAAATGATCCGCAGGATTTAATAGTACAAGAACAAAAAATTCAGTAACTTCTGGTCAGTCTCAATAATACTTTCTGTGTGGTATATTGATACTCTTTCTGTCTCGAAATTATTTTAAAACTATGTTAATGATTAAGTAAACATTACCATAGAAATGGCATATAGTAGTGTGTGTGTGTGTTTTTTTTCCCATCAACGCTGTAGTAGTGTTATTGTGGCGAAACTAATACTAATTATATATACTAGTTACTAGTATTATCATGAAGAAAGATGCTTGTTTTTGGTCAACCTTTCAAATTTAACACCAAACGATTAATCCAAAAAAATTCCTACTAATTAGTGTTGCATCCCCACTGTAGCTGGGTCAACCGAACACGTTATTAATATTAATTGTGTCCCCTGGTCCCCCTTCTTTATTTAATATTATAATTGTCACCCCAGTCCTTTTTATAAAACCCAAACCTTTCTCTTTATCACCTACATAAACCTCATTTTCATACCATTTTCATTCATTCCTCCAAATTTAGCTGAAAACTAACCAAAGAAGAACCATAAAAACCATATGCGTCATGGAAGAAGATCAGAGCAGCTTCTTCTACCCACCGGATTCCGACCTGGACCTGAGCTTCACCAGCTGCACAACCACCACCACCGACCGGACGTTCAGTGCCCGGAGCAGTCTTGCCCGGAGCAGCCTCACTCTCAGCTTCAACGACCGCCTCTCCTCCACTTCAACTCCTTCCAACCCTTCCACCTCCGTCGCCAGCCTCCACGACCGCCCTCACCGCCGACACGACCCCAACTGGGCGGCGATTAAGGCCGCCACCACCCTCTCCTCCGACGGAGCTCTCCACCTCCGCCACCTCAAGCTCCTCAAGTTAGTCGGGTCAGGTAACCTGGGTCGGGTCTTCCTCTGCCGGTTACGCGATTACGACCACGCGAATTTCGCGCTCAAGGTCGTGGATCGAGATTCTCTCACATCCAAAAAACTGTCTCACGTTCGGACGGAAGCCGAGATTTTATCGTCTCTGGACCACCCTTTTCTACCCACGCTTTATGCCCATCTGGAAGTTTCCCATTACACTTGTTTGCTCATCGATTACTGTTCCAACGGCGATTTGCATTCCTTGCTCCGCAAGCAACCCACCAACCGGCTACCGGTGGAGGCGGTCAGGTTCTACGCCGCCGAGGTCCTGGTGGCCCTCGAGTACCTCCACGCGCTGGGAATCGTTTACCGTGACTTGAAACCCGAGAACATTTTGATCCGAGAAGACGGTCACATTATGTTATCCGATTTCGATTTGTGTTTCAAATCGGATATCTCCCCGAAATTAGAGAACAAGGTCCACGTGGACGATGCTGCGGGGAGCCCGAGGAGTCACCGCCGCAGGCGGCGGAGGAGAAATTGTTATTGTCTCGACGGCGGGCGGGAACGGGTGAGGATGGTGACGGAATTCGTGGCGGAGCCGACGACGGCGTTCTCGAGATCGTGTGTGGGGACACACGAGTATTTGGCGCCGGAGTTAGTTAGCGGTAACGGTCACGGTAACGGAGTGGACTGGTGGGCGTTCGGGGTTTTGATATACGAGTTGTTGTTCGGGACGACGCCTTTTAAAGGCGGGAGTAAAGAGTCCACCCTGCGGAATATAGCGTCCACCAAAGGGGTGAAATTCTACGCCGCCGCCGACGATGAAATGGAATCGGAGAACGGGCTGATGGCGGAAGCCAGGGATTTGATAGAGAAGCTGTTAGTGAAAGATCCCAGGAAAAGGCTAGGGTGCGCCAGGGGTGCAACGGACATTAAACGTCACCCGTTTTTCCAGGGGATAAAATGGCCGTTGATCCGGGCTTACCGGCCGCCGGAGTTACGTGGGTTGACGGTGAAAAGGAGCAAGAGTAAGGTTCACGGCGGCAGCCACCATCATCATCATCACTGGAGTAGTGTTGTGCCGACATCCCCGAGAAGAAGGCGGTGCTGGTGGATGAGGCTTTATCTGAGGATTAAGGGATCTAAATATAGTTTAAATCCCAACACGAATTATTACTGTTATGTGAATAATAAGATTACCAGGAAGCATCTTTGAGTTTGGTTAGATTAGAGATTTGGAAATTTTGGACATAGATTTTAAAAATTTCTCCTCTTTTTGTCAATTCATTAAATTAGTGAGAGATAATAGATGATCAGTTTTGGTAACAGGAGATGAAAGTTGTTCAGATTGTTCATAGATCTGTAAATGAAAGGAAAGTAATTTGAACAGTTTTTTTTCCCTACAACATTTCTGATTATTTTCCGACTTATGTAATTTTGTAGTCTCCATGCTTAATCTCATTTATGCATTCAACCAAATCAAAATCGCTTATGGAATTGAAGTATAGTGATCTTTGTGTAGGATTTACTTTTGGGGAAAAAAAGTTACTGTTATACATGGACATTTCGAAAGACCGAATGGTTTCGTTGAAATGTAGAGCTTCACATAATTAGGTACAGTTGGAATGAAATGGTAACCATAATCGCATCCAAGCTGTTGTGCGATTACATTCACCTATTTCATTACATTAATCAAATTTTCGCGTAAAAAAACCCGACGCCGGTATAGTTTTCCTTTTACTTGACCGGATTGACAATAGAACGCATGCCTAAAGAAGAAGAATTGAAAATATTTGGGTATTCGCTTTTGCTTCATATGTATAAATTGGCACCCGAAAATTTTATTAGTAATATATAAAGTGAAGAAGAGTTTAATATAGTAAATTTTCTATTGCATGAGAACTGATCGCAGCAAGCAGTCTTCGTCGAGGTTTCTTAGGTTTTACTCTTTTCTATTATCACTCGTATGCTCACCCCTTTTAGACCTCGTTTTACTCGAACCATATGATCTGGAGGAGTACGTATCTTCCAGTAAAATATGTGGATCCAGCTAGCTTTGTACTCCCGCACTATAGTAATAAAATAGACTATTTTATTATAGGCTGTGATAGAGCCAGTGAAAAAATAGAGTGACATTTTATAGTGACTGATGTGGATATTGTAATTGAGGATAAAAAATATAATTTTTGGGGGAGGGGGGATTTCTACGGGAAAGTAGCTACAAAATGGAGGGTCATAATATTATTTTAACTAAAAAAAGTGGATACAATTCAGTTACTATAACTTTTCACGATATATTTTCACTATCCTTATCATTTTCCTTTTATTATACCGTAGAATTTCTTGTTATTTATTTTTGTGACTGAGGAGTACAATATTGTAGAGTAATAATTAATGTATAACATGTAATTAGACGGTGAAGTTTGAACATGAGTGAACTCATATATAGTCAAGTGCCGCACTAATACATGTGAATTAAGCATCTGCTGGAATTTTACTATGTAATTTAATCATCTCGGGAGGAATCTGGATTCACATGAGGAAGTGAGATGAATTCACATGATGCATGGAGAAGAAAATATTCGGAATAAAAATTTACTATAACAGCCCCTCAAGATTTTAAGGTTTGATTTGTAATATTGTAATGTCATCTGGCCATGAACTCACATTACAACCATAGTACCATGTGTGTGGCTTGAGCTTTCCCGCCACCACGAGACCACCGCCCTCTCGTTATTTTTCTTATAAAAATTTAAGTTTTCAATGACACCATTTCAAAAATAATTTCTGTTACCAAATCATTTCATTTGATTGTTTAGATTCGTTACTAATTTCACGACTGAACAAACTCACCTCAGGTAACAATATAACAAAAGCATTGCTGAAACACCAATTACAAAGTAAGTAGTTCTTGGATACTCAAATCGTTTCATCTACTGATGAAAAATTGCAAATTGCAAGATACGTACAACTCAAAATTCATAAAATTTGAGTAGCTCAAAACACAATATTTATTATTCCATCCATGCATGGGATATCACGGATTTTAGTCTAGATTCCATTGATGATTTTTAACTTTCAAGGATGGTTGATCACGTAGGAAGATGTCGATTTTGGAGGGATTGGAAGCAGGGGAGGGGAGCCAGAGCCAGAGCCAGAACCTTCATCTTCACTTGCATCACAGTAGCCGAGAAGAACATCACTTTCTTCACCATCAATTCCAACGGAACCAAGCATGGATGGCCAACAATGGTGTTGAATCGTCCTTATTGCGGTACAGCAGCTGTCTCCTAAGTATGTTTCTCCATTCATCAGAAACAGAGCAATTTCACCGGCACAGGATTGGAGCTCAAACAGAGATTCCCAACATGTTGATGTGCCTTCTTCCACCAGTTTCATCCTGTTGAGCAGGGTTGGCTTTTCGGGATTACTGGATTTGAGGTTCAGATCCCTGCTGCACATGATTGCAGATGGTGCGAAAGAACACACCAGGAGAAGCAAAAGGTTGAGCTTGGAAGCCTGATTCATTGTTGTGGGTTGAGTGAGGGTGTGTTTTTCCAAGTGGAAGTGTGGGTAATTTGTGATGATCATGCAAGCTGGATAATTTGGTTTATATAGGGGATTATACGGGAGATGATGGGATATGAAATTCATGAGGGAGAAATGAAGAGTTTCTTCAACCCACGATGAGTTTATTAAAGCAGGGGAAGATGAAAGATGAAACCGAAGGTGAGTTCTTGATCATGTCAATTTACGAATCAGGTAATATATAGTTAATGAGCAGAAATAAGACATTATTATGATTTTAATTAGTGTTAGATGATGAAGACCAGAGCAGTTACATCTAAATGATTAGTATATATTAAAAATTGGAATAAATGTTGCTATTTGATTGCATAACATCAGAAAATTACATTATGCAACAAAAGATGGATGTTAAGATGCATAATCAGATACTACTATAATCTATTTTGAATTTCATCCCTAAATCTTCATTATTAATCAAGTCAACTTGCGGGAACTGCTCTTCTGTGAAGTAAAAAGCTATGGTTCCTCGTAACCTGCGAAATAATGTACCAAATTATTGAAGACACTTATTATAAATAAATTTTGCATTCATTTGATTTAGGGGCTTTTTTAAGTACCTTTACAAGCGCTGTTTTCATCCAAAGGAGTTTCTGATGTTGGGGATGATGGTGAACTGATCGTAGTACCTTCCCTTGCATCGATCAGCATCGCGACAACTTCTCGCATTGTCGGTCTGCTAAGAGGAGAAGTACTAGTACAAAACAATGCTATCTTAAGAACTAGTGAGATCTCTTCCAGATTCCTCACACTTATTAGGTCTAGCCTTTTGTCATATATCTCTGATAATTCTACAACTTTGTGAATCGACTGTTTCACCCAAGTCACTAAATCACCACCCTGGTCAAGTGGTTGGACTGGAGACTTTCCAGTGATTAATTCCAACAGCACAACACCAAAACTGTAGATATCGCATTTCTCTGTCACTTTCATCGTGTAAGCGTATTCTGCAAATCATGTTGACAATGAACAGCTGGTGAGACATTATGGTCTTAATTAAGGAAACACATTTTTTTATTAAAAAGCTTCAGTTAATATCAAGTCTGAAATTCTCAGCATGAAAAACTAACCTAATTTGAAAGAACTATTATCATTTATGGAATTCTTACCTGGAGCAATGTAGCCATATGAGCCAGCTACTGCAGACATGGACTTAGAATAGGATAAGTCAATCAACTTTGCCAAGCCAAAATCTCCAACGTGTGCCTGGAAAGATTCATCAAGTAGAATGTTGTTGGACTTGATATCCCGGTGAATGATTTGTGGTTTACAATCATGGTGAAGATAGCATAAACCTTCGGCTGCTCCAAGCGCGATTTTATACCGCTCATTCCAGTTTAGCACGCATTTCTGGTTGACATGAAGAAGTTCTCCCAGGCTTCCATTTTCCATGTATTCATACAAGAGAAGATTGGAATCTTGTTGATAGCAGAAGCCGAAAAGCTTTACAATGTTCCTGTGCCTGATCTTCCCTAGAGTTGAAACTTCAGCATGGAAGCTATTGTCTGAACTCGGTCCTTCTCCCCGGGATTTCAACTTTTTGACAGCAATTACATCGCCATTCACCATCTCGGCCTTATATACTGTGCCACAAGCTCCCCTTCCTATTACTGCACTGTCTGAAAAGTTCCCGGTAGCTTCCACAAGATCCTGGTATGCGAAACCTTCCTTGGGGAAGTAATAGCTTTCTAGTATATCTGGCCTTGATTCATCTTCAGCAGAAACAAAGGATGGTGGTTTTTGGCGCTTCATGACCCAACAAAGAGCTACAATGAAAGTTAAAGAAATTAGCCCTACAACGGCGCTTACAATGGTGACTATTTTTTGTTTGGAAGAGCTTTCTTTTAACCAGTTCCATCCCGGGGTATATGAAGGATTAGTCGAGGGTAAATGACAACGAAATCTGCATAAACCAGCATTTCCAACAAAATTGCTAGAGTCCATCTTTTCGAAAGTGGGATTGTTCGGCACCATACCAACTAGGTTGTTGTTGGAAACATTGCAAACAGTGAGACTCACTAAGCCTCCAACCGCGCTGGGAATTTCACCAACAAGCTCATTATCATTGAGATAAAGATATTCAAGCATTTGCAAATTCCCCAAGTTAACAGGAATGGTGCCATTCAACATATTATGACTGATATTGAGACAAATCTGAAGGGAAGTAAGTTTACCAAGCTCAACAGGAATGCTGCCAAAGAAAAAGTTCCCCCCCATTTGCAAATCAGTCAGCCTGATGAGGTCGCCTAAACTACTCGGAATTGGTCCAGTGAATCTGTTATCTGACAGCTTCAGCAATTCCAAATTTGTCAGCATGCCAATTTCTTCAGGAAGGTAACCTGCAAAATAGTTTCCACTTAAATCAAGCCTCTGGAGTTTCACGCATTTCCCCAACTCTCGAGGGATCCTCCCAGAAAGCCGGTTACCAGAGACGTTGAATGCAACAAGCTTCACCAGATTACCAATTTCCGGTGGTATTTTTCCAAAGAAATAGTTATCTGCTAAGAGAAGCCTTTCCAAGTTGTTAAAATTGCCTACTTCAGGCGGTATCAGCCCGGAGAACCTGTTTTGATAGAGCTCAAGAGCGGAAAGATGCTGAAGTTTGGACAATTCCGTAGGTAAGCTTCCAGTGAGTAGATTGTCTCCCAACATAAGGGTCTCAAGAGATTTGCATGTTTTTAAGCCATGAGGTATGTTTCCAGTCAGCTTGTTGTATCCAAGGCTGAGAAAACTCAGGTTCTGAGACCTGCAAATTTCTGCTGGTATACTGCCCACAAGGTTATTCTTGGACAGGTCAACAACAGTGAGGTTGCTGTTTTGTCCCATGAGCTCTGGAATGTTTCCATCAAGATGATTATCAAACAGCTGTAAATGCTCCAACTTCCTGAGATTTTGAAGCTCTTCAGGTATGGTGCCTGTCAAATTATTTATTGACAAATCCAGTTTCCATAGCTGCTGCAACTGTCCCAACTCCTTTGGGATTTCACCCTGCAGTAAATTTTCGAAAAGGTAAAGCAATCGAAGATCAGGGATTTGGCCTAACTCTTTTGGGATGAATCCACTCAAGTGGTTTTCAGAAAGATCAATCTCAACTGCACTTGAACAGTTGCCTAATTCTGGTGGAATGGTTCCATTTAACTGGTTTGTGTAAATGTACAATCTTTTCAACTGACCTAACTTCCCCAACTCCTTAGGAAGGGAACCAATGAATGCATTTTGATGCAAGGCAAGCAGTTCCAAACTACTGAAATTCCCAATTTCAGGAGGTATCTGACCAAAGAAATTATTCTTCCAGAGAATCAAGTTGGTAAGCTTCCCAAGCTTTTGGAGCTCAATTGGAAATGATCCTTCCAACATATTTTCTGCCAGTCCTAGGACTTCCAGGCTCTCACATTCACTAATTTCATCAGGAATTGGACCTGACAGGAAATTTCGACCGGCCCTTATGATCCGAAGCTGCTTCAGTCTGCCAATGGATGATGGAATTGTGCCAGTAAGATTGTTACTGTAAATCACCAGCTCCTCAATTGAACTCATATATCCAATTTCTTGTGGAACTCCCCCAAAAATGTAGTTCTCACAAAGATAAAGCTGCCTGAGAAAGGCAATTTTGTACAGCTGGGAAGGAAATTCACTGTAAAACCTGTTTGTGCAGAGGTCTAAAACTTCAAGACTCTGGCAAAATGCAAGATCAGGAGGGATAGAACCAGAAATGAAGTTTGTTGACACATTCAAATCAGTAAGGTAGGGAAGGTTACAAATGCTTGAAGACAGAGTACCAGACAAGTTAAGGCCATTGAGATGAACAGAAGTCACCTTATAATCATCAGAACAACCTATGCCAGTCCAGTTACAAGGATTTACATCCAAAGCATTCCAGCCTTGCAGATTACCATTGGGATCTATCAGGGATTTCTTAAACTCCAAAAGAAAAACCCCTTCTTTATTCAAAGCTTGAACAGAGATGATCATGCAGAAAATGATCATCAACAATCTGAAAGAATTCTTCCCAAATACAGAAACTCTACAGATTCCCATTTTTCCAGAACAAAATCAAGAAGGGACATGAGCCAGAAAACAGAGCAAGGGATAACCAAAAATCGAGTCTTTATTTTCCCCCCCAATAACCTCCAAAAAAATCGAGTCTTTTTTCCTCAAATACTATAAGAATTTCGTCTATAGTGGGTCAGGAACTAAACCAAAAGTCCATTATTTTCAGCTTAGGAATATGGAAATTAAGTTCATAGTGCTGCAGTAATACAACAAGCTATAAGAAGCTAAAGCAACAACAGGATAAGGAAGAATAAGAGGTGTGGAGAAATTTGGACACCTATTGAACAAAGACTCCAATTTAATTTTTCCATCTCAATATGACAGATTGATGAGAGGGCAAGAAACAAGAAATGAACCGTGAATGTCATAATCCAAAGGTGCAGAAAAGAAAAGGGTCAACGGAAACTTTACAGTGCAGTGAGTGCATGAATATGTGCATGTGAGTGATGGAGATCAGTGGGTGATATAGCTAGCTGCTGGTTTTTTTTTTTTTCTTCCTCTTTTTTTCAGCTTCTTTCAAATCCCATTAATTCTCTCTTCCTGATGATCATATTCTTCCCGTTGTACGCATGAACATCATCATTAATATTTGAAAAAAAAAAATTTTTTGATGGTTTTGTGGGGTGTGGGAAATTAATAGGGGGAAAAAAAACAGAAAAAAAAAAATCAGAAAAGGGACGAGAGATTGAGATTGATCATGGGAAATTCTTGGATGATCATGACTTTTTTGTAGGCCATTTTAATTTTTTTTTCTTTTTCTTGGCCTAACAATTGGGAAGCTAATAAGAAAATGTGTGATGATATTTTTTTCTAGTGTGTGGGAAATGTCATGATTTGCAAAGTAGACTTTAAAGTGGTAAGTGGATGGATGAATTGGAAAAAAAATGTGTACAGAAAACAGCAGCACCTGCCTCCTTGCCGACTTCACTTGTTGTAGTCTTATTATTAATGGGTTGGGCAAGAAAAACATTGGACATGTCTATCTTCCATTCCAATTTGGTACTGATTTTTTTGGCAGGATTATGAGATTTCGTTAACCATATAAAATCTTCCTTTCTGAATTGGGTTTTTTTTTTTTTTTAACATATTTTTCTTTTTCTCAGAATGTGAGGCGCCAAATTTGACTCCATCACTAAAAGGGTTATTTAGGGTGCCCTTTTTTCTTTAGAAAATATCTAAGAAAGATCAACCCATTTCCACTTGATTTTATTAAAATTATTATATCTATAATAATCTTTTACATTAATCATTCTGTAATAATCGTACGTTCAATTTATTGAGAACATTGGTTATGTCATCTGATTAGAGTCTTCTTCCGACAAATAACAATTTTCTATAGATTGGTTATGTCACGGATTTAAACTTGTTCATTTTGAAGGAATTGAGGAAGAGCCTATTATTCGTTCTACGCAGACTTCTTTCCAATTCCCTTCTTCTTCTCTATTTAGCTCTCAATGTAACTACTAACAAGTAATTTTCCCGCCAATTTTATATAGTCCGACAAAACCCGACATAAAGACTTCACCATTTTATGAAGTTCTTTGGGATCCAATTTAGGAATTTCCATCTTTTATTAAATTATTATAAAATTTGGCTCATTTTAATAAGGTTTATAACTTTGTTTCAACTATTTTCCCTCCCCCAAAAAAAAAACTCAGTTTCAACTAATGAATTAATGTTGAAAAGGGCCCAGTCACAGGCCCATTGGACTGGCTGCAAGTTAAGGATTGGGTCCAGAACCATCAAATGTTAAAAATATTTAGAGTCCCACCGACTAGGAAGTAGGAACCCTTGCTGTTGTTGAATCCTTCGGTTGGCCATGCAATCGACACTCCTCGCCCCCAATTTTCCAACGCCATAACTCTGTGCGATTGAATCCTTTTGGCGAGAATTCTCGGTTTATTTATTTATTCATTTTTTCGTAGAAATATAGAGCTCAGATTTTTTGTTTTCTGGTTGAGGTCAGTTTTATTCCTCTGTTTACTCTCTCTCAGGTTGCAATTAGTGAAATTCGCTTTTTCTTGGAGGAGGGTTTTCGCAATCGACTTTGTTAGACCATGAATTTCATCTTTTATTTGGATTATTTTGTGCTCGAATTGTAAAATCAAATTGATACGGGTTTTCCTGATTTGATAATTCTAGGTCTTCATGTACCTGGTTTTTTTTTTTCCCCGTCTTGATGGAGTGAGATTATCAGACCGATAACATCATTCACTTGTTCTACATGTTGAATTTTGCAGGGAATTCTATTGTTTTGCAATTAACTAAGCCATGGCATTGCTAACTCAAGCTACTCAAGCTACTGCTGCCTTGACATCATCCCAGCTGGCCGTTTCGACGATGGCTGCGATTGCGGGATATTCCATCAGCCTAGGTAAGTTATGATGGAGAACCTAGAAAAAAAAAATCTGTTATCTGCTTAGTATGCAATTTTGGTCGGTATATGCTATGAAGTATTGAGTGAATGTTCTGATTCATGTTGTTGATGCTGCTTAGGATGTATGGAACTGAGTGAGGATGACATTTTAAAAGGGAAAAAATCCAAAGAAATGAAGAAAAGTTGAGTAGCAATGTCAAAGATTCATTGAACTTTAAATTTAGGATCTCGAACCTAAAGTAATCTTTGATTATATTTGCAACGGTCGGGATAAAAGGCTTGTTGTCGTTGTGGTTTCTGTCTCATTCAGAGTGTCGTTGTTCTTGCTGTTAGCTGAGGGTACTGCAATTTTATGTCTCTGGTATGAGGTGGAGAGCCAATCTTTAAATCTACAAATCCAAAAGCCTTTCATATCTATTCACATGCATTTTCACATCATCATTGAAGTTTAAATGCATTTTCTGTCTTTGTTTGGAAGTTGATGAAACTTTGAAAACTAATGTTGAAGATACAACAAACTGTTAAATTTAGGATCATAGCCGTCAAGAACTATTAGTCTTTGTTCAGAGTTGAAGGTACAACAAACTGTTAAATTTAGGATTATGTTAGTATTTGCTCAGAGTTGCAAGTTTTAGAAAAATTTGATCTCAGGTCAGTAAGAGCCTTCAATCCTCATTGCCTTATAAGATGTGGAATTGGAAGATACTTTTGAATTGCACTAATCATGGTACAATATAATTGCGAATTTGCTGACCAGCAGTTTCTAGGTCTCAATAAGATTTAGAATGGGGTGAGTTCTATTTTAGATTTCCTTCTTAGAGATTAAAGAAAAGATAGGATCTCGGTGCTGCTAGCGTTATTTCCCTCCATTTAATTAAAATATTTAATGCTATTAAGTTTTTTGGGATTATGATCGAGAGCGCCGTTGCGGATTTTGTTATCTGATGTATTGCTATTTTTGACTCTGATGTGAAATCAATTGTAAAACTTGTACATAGATGGTTAAGTCTTGTATAAGATAACAAGAGCAAAGCCTTTATCCTACTTAATTCACTACATAGATTATATATTGAATACACCATCAAAATGCTCATCATTTGAATTTAAATGCATGAGTTTTTTTTTGCTTGCTCTTCTTGGTCATTTTCTTTTAATATGTGTCAATAATTATCTTTTTCTTGCACACTGTTTTGGTATAACTTGAGGTTTCTTACATACATATCCCGACCTCCTACTGTGTTTCTATGAGTTTCTCATCTCAGGGCCTATCTCAGTTTCTTGCTAATGTATTTGGTCCTTATTTAGTCTTGGATGACTATCCATCTCAACATTCTCATCTCTGATAATAATTTTTTAGTTTCCCAACACCTGGATCCATGATTTTTTAAGGAGCTTTGCTTAGGAAAATTGAAGTGCTGCTACTTCTTAATTGATAATTATACTAAATTGTACCTTGTAGGATTGGCAAATATGACACGTAGGCGGACAAGAACTAATATGCATGCAACTGCTTACGGCTGCCCGAGTGTGCGGATGTGTAGATCATCACCGAGAATGCAGATGTGCATATCGTCACAGGGTCAATCATTTGGTCAGGCAATACCCTTAAAGAGTGCGGGTAGATCACTTTCAGCCAATGCAATTTGCCTTGCAGCTATGGTATGTCTAAAGCATCCTACAGGGTATTCTCCAGGGTGTAACATTTCATAGTTTCATAAACATTGATCTAATACATTGTACATCTTTAACTTTCGGGTAAAACTTGTACAGGATGCAAAATGTAGTGCAGTGCAAACTCTGCCTCGTACAGATAGATCCAAGACAATGACCAATGTTCCAGTCGGAGGTGCATATCTTTTGCACATCTTTTTAACATTTCCACTTCTGAATTGATGTTCATTTGTTTCTTAGTTTATCCATAGCATCTGTTGCTTCTTTCGTCTTTTAAACCTTTCTGACCAAAATACTTAGGTTATAAGAAATTTTAGAAAAGATTTTAACTTGTATCATTACTATGTTATCTTTACCCTTCTCTCTATAGAACGGATGTGTTTGTAGATAATATTTGCTTAGGAAACGTAATACATACATGCCTGCTCTTTATTCCTCTCGATGCAGGACGCACATTTATTAGGTTTTGGGTAAGTGTAAAAAGGTTTTGATTTAATCATGTTTGTTTCATTTCAGATGTAATAAAGACACCTAAACTTGATGATAGTGGCCCTGCGCCTCCTCCAAATGGTGGTGGAGGTGGAGGAGGAGGGGGTGGTGGAGGAGACTCTTCAGGTGGATGGGTCCTTTTCGGCATTCTTTTATTACTGTCTTTTCTGAAGGAGAAAGAGAGGAAGGAAGAAGACGAACAAGAAAATAGGTCCTATAGGATGGTGTCGGTTCCAACTATAGATTTCTGAAAATTTATATAACGAGAGATGTTTTCGTTTTGATAGTGTAAATGCGACTTTCAATGTAATTAAGAAGTGTCAATACAAAAACATTAAGCCATAACAGTTCCCCCTTCCCCTTAATTTTTTTTGCGGTTTGGATGTTCATTCTGTTGATGATTAATTTCAAAGTACGCCACAGCAATTTAGTCTCTATAATTCATGCTCTTCCCAAATGGTTCACGGTAAAGTGGTTTAAACTTCCATTAATTCAACTGGTGGCATGCATGAATCGAAAAGGAAAATCATGCACCTTTGATTGCGTTAAGTTCCCTGTTGCATAATAGAGAAGCAAAGTTATGTAAGTTCAAGCCTTTAAGTGAGTAAAATCAGATCCACGTATCCTTTGTTTCAGCCTAATGATTGCGTTAAGAGAGCCAGAAATCTGCAAATTCAGTTAATCAGCATGATCTGATAAGTCTACCTCTGATGTAGGAGTTATATGTTTTTGTTAATCTGATATTTAGCGTTTATGTGAAATCTACTAGTTCTGGTGCATTACAATTTTGATCTTTCCAAAGAAAAATTTGTGTGTCCTCTGCTATGTTTCCCTCTTAGGTTTCGGTCCTCCGGTTATGAAAAGCTGCAGGAGTTACTGTGGGATTACTGATTTGCTGCGTGGTCATCTCTACTTAATGTTTGAACTTTGAATGAAGAGGGATTTGTTCCCCTGGAGTTCAATTATTTGCTCATTGGCTCCGCTGATGCCAATCTGCAAAGCTTGAACTCTTTGGATTCTAATCCTTGCAACTGGCGCGGTATAAGTTGTTCTGCTGATTATAAGGTGGCTTCCATACATCTCAATGGCCTGAACTTGTGGTGGAAATTTATCTTCAAGCGTTAATTTGTAAGCTCCCAGAACAGCTATGTATCAACAAAGTCCATTTCGGTTTCAAGATAAAATTTCCATCAACGGGTACAAAACTCGTCTCTCAGACACCTTTATCTTTGTGACAATGAGAAGGTGACTTCACTTGAAGAGCTAATGATTTACAGTAACAATCTCACTGGGACGATATCATCATCCATCAGCAGATTGAAAAGACTTTTGGGATCAAAAGGGCTGTCAATACTTTCTGTCAGGTCCGATTCCTACATAAGTTAGTGAATGTGAGAGTTTGGAAAGTCATTGGACTGGCTGAAGTATATTCTTGTTGGAAGGACCCATTACCAGCAGAGGTTCGAAGGCTTCATCCCAAAGGAATTAGCCCGATTTCCGAAGAAGCTGGGAGGATTGCAGCAGCTGAGGGATTTGGAATTATCGATGAATAATGTGAGTGGCTTGGCTTAACACCCACTCACGCTGTCTGCTGTTCAAATGAGAGGATGTATAGAGTCCAAGTTGCTGACTCCGGCAATTATGGTGAATCTGTTCCATCTCCATTTTGTTGGTAAGCAATTTCTTCCGCGTCTTCATTATAAAGAGCTTCATAATATGGAAAAGCAGTTCCAAGGCCCAAGCACAAAAAACATAAAAAAGGGGGCAAAATATTACAAAAGCCACCTTTTGTCAAAACGACAAAGAATTTGCTTTCTTTGAGAGTCGAACTCAAGACCTCCCGCTTACTAAACGGGTGCTCTAACCAACTGAGCTAAGAAAGCTGCACGTTCGTACATTTTCACATTATTTACATATCTTTAAGTTTAGTTGCAAGTGACAACCCCTTCCTGCAATCTGTAACACTTTACTCTAGTCGTATGGAAAAATAAATAAAATTAAAAGGTATCAACAAAATCTGAATATAAAAAACTAATTATCTTTAACTCAAACAAAAAACAAAACTCGCACTATTTACCGAATAGGGTCTTGGTACATGTTAGTGTTTACTAAGTTGCATCACAAACATTATTCTGTCCCAATTTAATAATGACATTGGTTTTTAATCGTATATATATTGAAGAAATGTAGTACTACCTATTTTTCTTTCCTCAAAATGACGTCAACATTTAATTTTTAAATTTATATTAAAAATAATATAAATTTTAAAATTTAATGTGTACTATTCTTTTGGACAAAAAATAACGTTAAAAATGTTTTAAGACATTAAGTGGTTGGTCTTTTAAAGTTAGAAACTTAGAGATTAAATGTAAGATGCAATACGGGGCGATATTTTAATTAGTACATGTCCATCCAAAAAGAAAGATTGTTACTTTTGAATTAGGAGGAATTGAAGGAGTATATTCTAGCACCAAAATTTGTCACAGTAGAACCGATCTTGAAAACTAGTTTGGTTTTTTTTTATTATAATAAAATATTACTCCCTCTATCCTAAAAAAATAAATAAATTTTATATAATTATGTTATTTCAGTTCAGCAAAATAAACTGTATCTTTGATTCTTCATCCATTCTCTAGTGTAATACTCCCTCATGTCCTTAATATAATGCATTTTGATTTGTCTTAAATTTAACCTAGTACATATTTTTAATCAACAAAAAAAATCTTTAAAATATATTTTCACATTCGTTGTTTTCTCTTGATTGTTATGAAATATTTTTAAGATTTTTTTTGTTGATTAAAAATGTGTACTAGATTAAATCTAAAAAAAGTCAAAACATCTTATAATAAGGACCAGAGGGAATATATTCCACTGCATTTGGCAATGAAAGATGCTTTAAACCAATTTTCTTTCTTAGTTAATGTTTCCGAATAACACTAAGCATTATTAGAACAGGGGGAGCCAGTGGGTATCAAAAAAAAAGAGAAACAAAAGAAATCACAAGTGAAAAAAAAAAAAAAACTTCGCTTGCATGAAAAATCTTCAAACAGTACGCCATGAAGAGAAATCGATCAGTTTTGCTCTCTATCGCAATTTCTAACAAATAAATCCAAATCCGGCAGAAAGGTGTGGCGCATCATCCCAGCACCAGCAGAGGAACGCGCGCAATCAACCTTATTCACTCACTAACAAGAAATGACTAGGAGCCTTTCTCGATTATTGTTAGATCATCATGAGATGTTTTAAGCGGGCACAGAGAAAGCGCGAAAAAACGTTGACTAGAACCCATGGACAAGTTCAATATCTTGGTGATCATACTTGAGCTCCTCATAATGCACAACCATGAGCGTGAATTCAACAATGCCATCTTGACTTGTTTCATTAGACCAAAAAGTCGAGAGGATCGCGCTTCCTTTGGCCAGTCGGAAAGCCCCTGTGCCACCAATAATGGGCATCTCCCGGTACTTTGCACTGAGCGGATTCCGACCTTGAACGCTGATGGTGCTGCCTTTGTACTTGCCTTCGGTGAACACAAAGTTGAAGGAGAAAAGCAAGCTCAAATCCTCCTGAGATGTTAGAGAATAAATCCCTTGGCCGTGCCCGATGGTCTTCGAGTGAGGTGACGGTCCAACCGTTAACGGGTCATCGAAAACCCGGGTCAGACCGAAGAATGTGGGTGACTCGGAGGTCACGTTGGCCCGGGCGATCTCCTCGGCTGTGGGTCTCTTCCCGGAGACTTTATCCTGGAAGAAGAAATGAAGCCGGGTTAACTTCTCCCTCGCGTGACGAAGCCTTTTGAACCATCTCTCAACCGAGTAAGGACTCCGGTCCAAATCCGAATACCCGCCTTCGCCGCCACCGCCGGGTCGTGACGCCATGATTAACAATGGTGCCATGGCCATCAAAGTTGCCAAAAGAACAATGCTTAACTTCACCATGGTTGATCAGTGCTGAAAATTAATTAAACCCTTTTGATTACTGAAAAAAACTGTTTGTTTTGGATACAAGAAATGATGGGAAAGATGAGTGTATTTATAGAGTGATTTGGACAGTAATAACGCCAAGTTGTTAAGGAACAGTCCTAGAATTCAGAAGGCAATCTAAGACTAATGACTTGGTGGATTTACTATGTTTTCAAACACCCCCAAGCCGGACCCCCTAAAAATAGAGTTACTAGGCACATATTCAGTTCCGCAGTTCGGAGAACTTTGAAACTTTCATAAGTAATCAAATGTTAAAATTGAAGTTAGCTGGCTAAAATTATGTTTCTAGAACTTCTATTGCAGTACCTTTTTTTTTTGTTCACAATACAAAGACCAAGCACGATCAAATACATAGTTCTATTTAATTAGGATAATTACCAAAATTTGTTCTTTAAATTTTGATATTGATATAGTAACCCGCACGAAATGTTTTGATCGACAGTACACAACGTTGGTGTAATTATTGTACTGTTAATATTTTCGCGTAGTAGTCTCAGCCAAACTATTAGAAAAATATTAACCCTTCACATTCAAGAATTATTATCTAATTTTCTTCGCAGTGACGATGAAATTGTCTCTTTCATGGCTAGCTCTTTCCAGAAGAGTTGCTATATATCCTGGGTAGCATAGATGTATACCCATCTTGAGGGCCATCTATATAATTTCTGGGCGGTTTGGTTTGGTTTGGTTAGGTTGGGTCGTGTGGCTTAAATTCCTTGCAAATTGGCAGAAGTCCTAATGCAATGTTTCCAAATCTTATTGCTCTGAAAAAAGGATACAAATGATAAGAGTAAATTGGCGAGTTTTTTTTTTAGCTTAAAAGTGGAATTGCTCGTATTCAATTTGCTTTCTTTCTTTCTCTTCGGTATGTTTTCCACAGAATATAACTTGCAATGTAAGAATCCAGTACAAACAGATAAAACTCTCTTTTTTATTTTTTATTTTTTTAATTTTTCCTGTTTTGGACGAAGAGTACATATAATGTGATTTGAGTTTTGAAGAACGTATATGCAAGATGTAGAGGCACATCACTGATCATATGCTTTCTTCACTTGAATTGTCCTTGTATGGGGAGAAATTTCAGTTCACAAAAACAAAACACAAAAGTCAAAAACAAAAATACACTCTTTAGTCTTTACTGCCACTTTGCCAAATCTAAGATTTCAAGAACATCCTTTTAGAGCTAAGAAAAAGTGAAGATGATAAGAACTAGAACTTGGTTTTATTTTCTTGTACTTAGTTGTAAGCGCTTACATCATCACAAACACATTAGGCAAAGGTCTTAGATTGTGGGGGGAGAAAAAAAACTCACAATAAACAAAGCTAATCTCCATGACTCCATGTTATTGACTTTTTGTCCCCAACAGAAAATGACAGATGACTGTAAAAATACACTAAAATAGTAGAGCATCATTTTAAAATAGTAGTATCATTTTGTTAACGAGAAAAAGAAAGTATCATTTTGATACAAAACGAGTACCGATCATTCTCTCTTATGCAAATTAGGCTTCATTCAACCCAATCTTCCAAACCAAAAACAACTCATTCAATCCCAAACAGTTTCTTCAAGAACAAAACAGTCTCGTACGCAATCATAGGATCAGCTAAAGACTTGGAAACACTCTCCCTTTTCATGCAGTTTTTGGCCCATCCCACCAGCTTAGGACACTCTGCTTCTATGCTGAAGTTTCCGCAAGTCTCAAAGGCATAGAACCAACTATAAACGGGAATCAGAGCCACATCTACATAACCAAATGTCTCACCTCCAAAATAAGGTCCATCTCCAAGTGCTTCTCCTTCCAATATCTTCAGGATCTCTATGAATTCCTTCTTCCCTGCCTCCTGCTCTTCCCCTTTAGCACTCCATATTTTTCTTGCAGGGCCAAAGACCTGCATTGATTCCATATTTGATTAAATTTAGTCAATAAGATCCAAAGTCAAAACCATTTACAGAGGCACTTTAGACATTGCAGTTTATAAAGTCAACGAGTGCCTTACACATAAAAAAGAAATGTGAATGTTCACCTTTTTGTCAATGAAGTCAGCCCAGAACCTTGCTTGAGCTTTCTTGTGAGGATCAGATGGCATCAAGGGGTTCTTGTGGTGCCACACCTCATCTATGTACTGAACAATTATGAGGGACTCTGAGATTGGCTTTCCATTGTGTATCAGAACTGGGACTTGCTGGTGAATCGGATTCGTTTCCAGAAGTAGCTTGCTCTTGTTAGTCAGGTCTTCATCTATAGTTTCATACTTGATTTCTTTCTCTGCTAGAGCTACTCTCACCCTCATACAAAACATGCTTGGGCAGGTGTTCAAAAGAAACACATTTTCACTAGTCATTTCCTCCCCACAGATAATTACTGTCTTTGTGAACTTTTCAATGACTACAAACTACAAAATGAATGCTGAACAGGATGAAAGGGCAGGGTCACATCTTATATATACACCTCAGTGCTGCTTTTTTTGCTTAATTTATTCAGCTATGGCATCATTTCAAGATCTTTTTCAACTCACCAAAGGCATTTCTTTATTGTCAGGTCAATGGTTCTTACCCCAAAATCTTCTAATTCCAAAGTTTAGACCAAATATATGCACCGACAAAACTAAGGTCAAATTTTCTATTGTAATAGTCAGAACGTCCCAAAAGTTGTGGACAAGTATATGCGGCATCAAGGCCATGATTCTGCTAGATGCAACCTCCTTAAGGCAACTCCAATTCAGAGTCAATACTACAAAGTGATCCTACCCCAAAACATCAAAGAAAATGGATGGGGCTGTTCTGCTATTACATTAACTAGCAATCTACATGGTCAATTTGTTGCTGGCATAAATAATGACAAAAGAAAAATGAACATATTTCAAATGACAAATCATTGAAGAGAAGAAAACACAATTTTCATCCAATATGTAAATATTACAATACCATCATAACTGAGATACACCGACTATTCATTATCTTGGCTAGTAGTAAACAAGAATGACTTTTACTACTACACCATGATATCCAAAAAGACACAGCTGTTTTATTCTCTTAAGCCAAACAGACTAAAAACAGAAGCAACAGCAATTGCTTCCCAAATAACAAGCTACTACTAGAAGCATCAACAGATGATTCATCATATCTTAAAACTCATTCGATCCCGAATACCTTTTTCATGTGGAGAACAAACTCATAAACCTCCTTAGGATCAACAAGTGACTTGGCCACGCTCTCCCTTTCCATGCATCTTTTGCCCCAAGCCACAAGCTTTGAACACTCGGCTTCCATCTTGAAATTGCCACAAGTCTCATAGGCATAAAACCAACAGTAGAAAGGAATCAAAGCCACATCCACTAACCCAAACTTTTCCCCACCAAAATAAGGCTTATCTCCGAGTTCCCCTTCCAAAGTTTTATACAATTCAAGAAATTCCTTCTTGGCTTTCTCTTGCTCTTCCCCCTTTTTAGTCCACACCCTCCTTCCAGCATCATAAGCCTGCATTTTCAGGTACACCCATTTTAACAAATTAACAGAGGCAACCATGAAATGAAACAAATTGAGAGCAATTATCGAATTATTTGTTACCTTCTTGTCAATCAAATCGACCCAGAACCTGGCTTGAGCTCTCTGGTAAGGATCGGAGGGTAAAAAAGGATTCTTGTCATGCCATACTTCATCTATGTATTGAACGATGATGGCGGATTCACAAACGGGCTTCCCGTTGTGAATCAGAACAGGGATTTTCTTGTGAATCGGATTCATTTCGAGAAGAAGTGGGCTCTTGTTGCGAAGATCCTCTTCTCTGTATTCATACTGAATGCCCTTCTCAGCCAGGGCTACCCTGCACCTCATCCCGAACATACTGACCTTGAAATCCAACAGCACAACTTTATCAACCCCCGCCATTGATTGCACCGAAGAGTGGATAAATGAATACTGGGTTAGAAACGGTTTAGGTTATTTATAAGAGGAGCTGAGGAGGTTTAGTAGCACTGTAATTCTGTTTCTGGGGAGTTGATTAAGGAGAAGAAAATTCCAGACGAAAGTGATTACGTGTATATATCTCGATTCTTGTATTTTTCATTTTTTTTGCTGAAAAGGAAATGATAATACGGAAATACTACTACTATTATGCATTTTAAAAATTTTGATAAATTTATAATCTTCCATAATAAAAGGCATGCATTAAAATTCTTTCTATATTTTTCGTTCATAATTTTTTATTCTTCTTTTTTGCATGACATATTGATATACTCTTGAGTCATGCGCCATCATCATCTTTGTAAAATAAAGATTTAAATGGGAAATTACAGTGATTATAAGGCATACACATAACATATTGATAAATAAAATACTTTGAATTCACACCATAAAAAGAAACAACACTAATGGCCTATGTGGTCAACCTTACATTTTACATTTTATCTGATTTTATTGAATTCAATTTTTTGTTTTTCTGATTATAAATAAATTTTAAAATGCCTTACATTAATTGAAAAGAACATAATATATGTAAAAATATGTTTTCAAATTTTTATTTCTAATTAAAATAACACAATAAATGAAATTTAGAAAATAAGAAAAAATCTTATAATAAAAACTGAAATCCGAAATGAGTATTAATGAAACTGTTCAGTTGAGTGGTGAATAATACTCCCAATAGATTTGGCAGCTCAGTCGTAGACAATAGGTAAGTGTGAATATAATTTGTATATAGGCCCCCGTATATTTAAAAAAAATTGTATATGGGAGACTAGGAGTGGTACTGATTCTTTTGCTCGAATTTCGGAAGGGACCAAATGACGTCACTGCTCAAGTAAACGAAGCAGCTCGAGAGATGAGTACCGTTCTACTCCCTCCCGTATTTATTATAAGATATTTTAATTTTGTCTTAAGTTTGATCTATAATATGTTTTTAATTAAAAAAAAAATTTAAAAATATATGTTCACATTTATCGTATTTTTCTAATTAGTATAAAATATTTTTAAGATTTTTATTTCAATTAAAAATATATTTTATGTGAAACTTAGGACAAACCTAAGACAAATCAAAATGTCTTATAATAAGGATCGGAGGGAGTACTTTGTCTTCTGTCTATTTTATTATTTTTCTTTTTTTTTTATTGAGATATGCACAAGTATTTAGGAACAATAATTAACTCTTTAAAACTTGAAGTGGAATACCATTGTGCCTAATTAAAAGTGTTAGGACTCTACAAAAATCGTAATTTAAAGTAAAAAAAAGAAGTATTTGCCATTAGTATGTGTTAAAAATTACATGCATATAGAGGTGTAATGAAATGAAAAACAACATATAAAAACTTTTGGATTCACCTCAATACGGTAGATAAAAAAAATGGAAGTAATATTTATTTTTTTAATCTTTCCATCCTGAAATTATTATTTAGTTTATTTTAATTCAAATTTTACTAAACATAAAAATAGAAATTAAAAAATAATTTGAGAAAACAAAAAGTATTCCCTCCATTCCAAAATAAGTGTCATTTTCGAGTTTGCATAAAGTTTAAGAAACACTTAAATAAGGTAGTTAAATTACTAAAATATCATTAACTAACCCCATTAAAATAATGCTGACCAATAATATTGTTTCTTTTGAAGTTATGTTTGGAAATGTTTGATAAAAAATGCATTGGAATCAGAAAATAACACTTATTTTAAAATTTTTATATTTTTCTAAAAGAACACTTATTTTGAAATGGAGGGAGAATACTCGAAAATTGATCTCTTCTTGAAATTAAAAACTTCCCTTTAAACCTACCAAATTCTCGAACGAAAACAAGTCAAAAGAGATGGGTAGACCAAAAAGATTCGTCTTTCTTTTTCCTCTGCTTCTTTTCTTTTGTACCTGCTATTTTGCAAATAAATGTTCTAAAATAGTTAAATAGGTATCTCCCTCACAATTTGACTCATGTTTTGTCAAAATTTTTCATATATCCTTATATTAGAAATTTTAATTGTGTTTAATACTATATAATTGTATTATTCGAACAAAATATTGATGGGACGACAATTACTACTTTCGTTGACTTTTATTTGCCACTTTAAGGTTTGTACAAATATTATGTTAAAAAATAACGATTAGAGCCTTTAATTTTTTAAATGTATTTTCTTTCTTGACCCTAACTAAAAGCATTGGAATTTTATAAAGATTATTAGAAATTAGAGTGTAAAAATAGGTTGTTGTTATTAATATATGTATGTGATTAAAAGTAGAGATAAGGGTGAAATTGAAAAATAAAAAATAAAAAAAAAACTGTATTTAATGCTACATTAGTAATGAAGTGCGACAGATAACAAAAATTTTGGATTCACCCTAATGCGACATATAAAAGAAATTGAAGAGGGGGGAATCAATGAGTGATGTAGATTTCTACCCGAAATCCCCAAAATCGGAAGCGAAACATATGGATATGAAAGGTAACCCTTGCCCCGGACTTTACCATTCCACAAACACTCTTTCAGGAGTTTATTAATAGACAATGAAGCACTGAAAGGTGGCAAAAACCCCAGTAACCAAACTGATTTTCAGAATACATGCAAAACCGACGAAAGTAGTAATTATAACAAAAAATGAACCCCAGGCAAACGACGTCGGATTGCCCTGAAAATTTGACACAATACTTATATTATGGAATGAAAATTTATGGCAAATTTTGAGCGCATTTGGACGCCTACAGCCTCAGTAACCAAAATGGGCAGTAGCTAAATGGATTTGGACCAATCTGCCACAGAAAATATATTAGATTCGTTTATATAGTAAACGAATTTATTTTGACCTGAAATTTGGGCTCAATATCTCCAATACACTGAAGTTAAAACCCACCAGATTTCAGAATTTTTGGACAACTAAAAGTACTAAAACAAAAATTGGAAAAACAGACTGACCCTAAATGATACAACCTGGAGTCATGCAATGTTTGGCTTAATAAATTGACACCCCTGGCCTACTAAACCCTTTTAGACTTACAAGATAGGATTTTCAGAAAATATGAAGTCAAACACATGGAGCACGCAGGCAGAATCGAAGACGCAAGGATCAATCGCAAGATATAACCATGAACACAATTCACGGTTTGGCTAGATTACTTAGTAATAAAGGAATTCGATACACAAATAGATGCAGCCACCAAAAATACACCTAAAAGAGCAATATGACATGAGATCTGAATGGAAAGAGAGCTTAGTATGCTACCAAGTTGATAACAACAACCAAAGTAAAGGAATCACTAACAATCGCAAAGGAAATGGATTCAACGACCTTGGCTCCTCTTAGATTGTTACAAACTTGATTAGAGAGCTCCAACAACCAGGCCAAACTCATCCCTAGCTGCCATACTCGTTGCTTGACACTCCCGGAGTGCAAACCACCAAAGTCCAACCTTGGAATTGCAAGATTTCACCATTGACAATCCATTGATGATCTCTCGGTTTCAAGCTTTGAAAAGCTATGGAATTTTCTTTTTTTTTTTTTCTTTTCGAGGAAGAAGACTCTTTATCCATCAAACTTGGCTGGCTCCACAAGTTAGGTGGTGAAGCAAGCAACTAGAAAAATCAAAAGTTGCAACTATGTCTAAAATAATACAACTAGCTTTCCTATACTATTAGAAAATCTTAGAAAAATAATTACTTGACTTAGTGGACCTTTCCTGGTCCCTAAGGAATCCCTCTTTCAGGTTCTAACACTTAAAATAACTTACAACATCAAAATAAACCAAAAATCAGGCCACAACATCAAATCGGTAAGCTGAAACGGCTCTCCCGGGTTCTTGACTCGGCAAAATGGGCCGTTTTGAGAAAACTCTCAGGAAATGGCAAAATCTCCCGGACAAGTTGGGTTCTACCTCCGATAATGTGTATATAAAATGTCCAAAACGATCATCGGATGTAAAAATTTGGGCCTGGGTGAAGAGTTGTCCGAGTAATGACCTTTTCCCGGCAAACGGGTTAGCCGAATAGGTGCATTTGTTGATTCTCTCGGCAAACATCATTTTTCCTCGAGCAAGTTGAATTATTTCCCCGCAAACCATACCTGAAAGGACCAGAAAACACTAGACTTGAATGGTAAGGAAATTGATCAACCTAGCGTCATACTCTTTCGGTATAGGTACTTCCGTCTGACGTAGGAGACCATTGACACTTTCTTGCAACTTCTTGGCTTTAGAACGTGTCATAGGATCAGAAGACTTAGGTGTCATGATGGGAGCTTCCTCAGGAAGGTCTACATCAATGAGTGTATTATAGGATGCTAACAAAATAATTTTGTCTTTTTAAACTTTTGGGAATATTTCAGCGACATATGTTTAGAGTTGAGAAAGTATGTTTCCATTGTATTACTAGTAGATATCTCACGCGTTGCGCGGGTATTGTAAAATATGAAACGAAAAAAAAAAAACATCTATGAATAATTTATGTATAATATCATGCATCATAATTGCTTTTTTTTAAAAAAAAATCAAATAAAATGAATACCAAAACCAAACGTTTGATCATCGTTAATAGAATCTTGAGGCATCTGTTTAAGGTTCCGACATTGACATCTCACAAGCAAAGGAAAAAAAGAAAGAACTAGTTTCTCCTTATTTTCTTTGTACCCTTTTCATGCACCGAAACACAAAAACCATTGATAATCTATTCCCTTTGGTCCTTATTATAGAACATTTTAACTTTTCTTAAGTTTTACTTAATACACATTATTAATTGACAAAAAATCTTAAAATATATTTTTACATTTGTTGTGTTCTCTTGATTGTTATGATATATTTTTAAGATTTTTTCGTCGATTAAAAATGCGTACTAAATTAAACCTATGACAAATCAAAATGCCTTATATTAAGGACCAAAGGGAGTACTAAAGAAGTAAGAAATCCTACAAAAATGAATTGATGATTCTAAAGCCGATGTATAATAGTAGCATTTGTTTAATCAAAACGAAGCTATAAAAAGTTCACTTTCGTGGATCGATACAACGAGCTAGAGTTGTACTAAAAAAATGGTGAAAAAAAAAAAACAAAAAAGAGTATGATTTACCTGGTAAGTTTTGCCGTGCAGATTATGAACATGTAATTGGATAATTTATAAGTAATATTCCCTGTGTCTTAAAATTATTATCTAGTTTTAAATTTCATTTTTAGTACAATTTGAATTAGAAATGAAAACCCAAACTGGACAATAATTATGGGACAGAGGGAGTAATATTTAAAATTTATTTTGTACTCAAACTCCCAAGACAGCTAGAGTTGGACTAAAAAAAATTTGGTGGAAAAAAAAAAGAAAACAAAAAGAGTATGATTTACCTAGTAAGTTTTGCAGTGCTGATTATGAACATGCAATTGAAGAATTTATAAGTAGCAGTATTTAAAATTTATTTTGTACTCAAACTCTCAACACATGATCTTAACAAAATATATCTAATGTTTTTAAAATAAATACTATGTAACACAATTACTACCAATTACAATTTTAAATATGATCAGTGGATAAGATTAGTTCGATAAGTTGTTCAGATTTTCAATTTTCATATTTCCGTTTTTTGTAACTAATTGTAAATAATAAGATCAATCAATATTGATTAGTTAAAGAAAAACAATTAAGATCCAGATAATGTTTAACGATATTTCCTTTCAAAATAAAAATATTGTTGAGATATTCATCCGGTTAATTCACATAATATTCCAGTGAAATTATTATAGCTTTTTAACCTATAAAGAATTTAAATTAAAAATTTATTTCAAAACACTTACAACATTTAATTGAGCTCTATATGCTAATTTTTAAAATCGGCTTGAATTTCATGCCACACGTGCATAAATCATCATGTTTTAATATGAATGATTATATCCTCTTCACGTATTTTGACAGTTTTCAAATGAATAAAAGAAGAAAATAATTAGTTTTATATTTAAAACAAAATGAAATATTTTAATTGGATGGTGGGAGTGATTAAAGTTAACTGTTCAACATATCCTTGCTTGAAAAAAAAAAAAGAAAAAAAGAAGGAAAAATCTATAGCTTCGGTACGGCTGTTAACAGAAAAATATCAAGACAGGCCTCTAAGAACCACTACTTGATGAATAGAATGTCTTTGTTTTAACTTTTAAAGCCCAAAGCCCCCAAACCCCACAAATAAATTTGGACCAGTTTCACGAATTTATGGTGTGGTGATTGGTGTCTTAGGCACGTTGAATATCCGCATTTCTAAAGGGAAGATACCATTCTCCAAATAATACTTGTTTTCGTCCTAAAATAATTAATTAATATACCTATTATATCATAACAATCTTTTTATATTAGCGTCAAAGAATTATGATCGAGTTATACATATGCTTAGGCACGTTGAATATCCGCATTTCTAAATAGAAGATACAGTTCTCCAAATAATACTTGTTTCTGTCTTAAAATAATTAATTAATCTGTCTATTATATCAGAACAATCATTTTATACTTGCGTCGAAGAATTACGATCGAGTTATATACATAACATAGAAGTACTATTTTCTTAATTTTGATACTTTTAAAAATTGAATAATTATGTTTAACAAAATGAATATGTAATTAAGTTTATCACTGTCCACACATGAAAATAAACGAAGAAAGGAAGTCTTTGTTTGGAATCAATAATGAATGATATATTTACATTATCAACTAGTTGATGTTACACATTGTGTAAAATGTTTACATCAAATCTCAACAAATTTGTTAATGAATGAACTGATGAATCAAGAGCTTGCAATCTCACAAAATTGAACTGAGAATCCTCCAAATTCTCCACAACAATCTCATGAACCAAAGGGCGACTCAACATCTTCAAAAGCAATCGGAATTTCCCTTTTCAGCCAGATTCGAACCATCGACCTATATTGGACGGATTAGAAAAATCGAATGGAAGAACTAAGAAGAAGAAGACATCATGATCTTGAACTCATCAAAGCAGAGAACACCATCGCCATTGAGATCAAACCTGGCAATCATGTTTCTACAATCCCCAAGACTCCTGGATTCCCCCAATCTACTCAGCATCCTCTTCAAACTCTTGGGATGAATGAACCCACACCCTTCATCCATCTCATACATCTTGAACGCTTCTTTTAATTCCTTAACTCTCTCTTCCTCCCCACCGCCTTCCACCATTCTCACGAATTCCTCCATACTCACCAGCCCATCTCCGTCGGAATCCATCATCTCCACCGCCGCCACGCATTCGGCCATCGACATCGGAGCTCCGATTAAAGACCCGATACAATTTTGCAGCTCCAAAGCCGAGATTCTCCCGTCGCCGTCTTCGTCAAAGTGGTTGAATACCCGCTCGTACTGTCTCTGTTTATCCATATCTCTAAAATAAAAGGAAATAAGGTTGATGTAATTATACGGGGAATGTAAGTTAACCAAAGATTAGTAGCTAAGAGCCTAAGACTAGAAGTAAGGAAAGATGATTTTGGAATTGGGTTTTTGTTTTTGTTTGTTTGAAGGTAAAGGATTTAAGCAGAGAGGATATATATATACATATAGAGATGGAGGAAGTTGGGTTTGTGGCGGTGTTGGGGGAATTTCAACACAGATTTGCCGCGGTTTCGGTGATTTTTTCTTATCAATAGTACAAATCGTGTTCTTCTTCGTCTTCTTCATTTTTCCCTCTCTCTTTCTGCCGTTCTTTCTTTTTTCAGCCAGTTCCAGGAGCCTTCGCCCTTCTCACTTCTCAGCTCTGTTTGGCCTTTCCCACTTTTACGGTTTTGCCCTTGAAATTATAAGTCAACTTGATGATGTTCATCTTTTTGTAGTACACTAAATTAAATTTCTTCTTTTGTTTTTCTTTCCTTTTGACTTTTTTTTTCTCCCCTTTTTAATAAGAAGAGAATTCAGATTTAACCAGAATAATGGTACTCTGCCATTATTGTGAACTAAAAAAGAGATCTATTACCGATCTATTATAAAATTAATACTAAACTACTAATATGAAACCAAATATAAGAACAAAGAAGAGAAATAAGAGAATAGAGAGAGACAAAAGACTTGTATTTAGATGTATTTTAAAGTATGAATGAGCTCCCTATTTATACAAGAAATAGGGGATCAAACTATGTGAAATGAATCACCTATCATTAATGCTAAGTATTACAGAATCATATCTCCTTGATTGTGAATAAAATAATACATATTAATGTGGACATTCAATCAAATTAGATTTTTCCATAACACTCCCCATTTGAATGTCCATTGTTGCGGAACAATGCCTCGTTAAAACCTTACCAGGAAAAAATCTTTGGGATAAAACCCTAGTGAAGGAAAAAGAGTACATTTCTGAATGTGATACTGCCTCGTTAAAAAACTTTGTCATGAAAACCCATTGGGACAAAATCTCGATTAAGGAAAAAAAAAGTACAACGCGGTGTTACTCCCTATGTTGAGTATATCACTTGTAATCTTCTCGCCACATGTCCATATGTTGACCAAGTTCACCATTGTTGAAGTCATATTGTAATACCTTTTCTCTGCAGACGATCATCTTCATATGCTGGTGTAATCTTGAGTGCTTTATAACAATAGAGATCTATAACTAGCATACCAAAAAGGTATTTATATATATAATTCTCGAACGCCTTGGGTAGTAAACCGATTACTTACACGTATTACAATATGGTACTTCATGACCAAATCGGTTCGCATTTTATTCTAGGCCATAAAAAAGGATTTTATGCACATCAAGATCATAGTCTAGTGCGCTCAACGGGTGTTAAATATATAAAGGTCAAACTATTTAGACCGAGATTCTACTCGAGATCTTTCATTATCTTTGCTTCAGGCAAGTAGCAACCTTTTGAAATTCCTTAGAAGTGTTCATAACTATGATATAACACTTCATAAATTTTATTTATATTCAGACCATTCAAACTCTATAATGAGTTTTATTCATATTTAGCCTTTTCAAACTCTTTAAAAAATTCAGTGCTAACCAGATAGCGAAGACACATATAATTTACGAAAAATTCATATCAATAAATATGATCAGAAAACACATAGAAAACACAAACAATCACGTAACAGACAAATATAACGTATCCGGATAAAACATATAAAACCAAGTGCATAAACGGTAATGACCAAAATGTTCAAAAAAAAAAATGCACCTAAATATTTGTCTAGACACATGAAAACACTATAACTTCCGCAAGTTTTTCAGATTAATTTCTCGAGAATCGGAACCATGTACCTTATTGAATCATTCAGGGATTCCATATAAACGCCATTTTTAAATGGCAAATATCAAGTATTATTTCAAGTGATCACTATATTCACTAGACGCATTTTATTTCTTCATTTACTGTCAAATTTAGCAACTAATGGAAGAATGAATATTTTCATCCACCACAAGAAAATTTATCTCTAAATTATTAACATCTAGATTTTAGGAAAACTTTTACAATAAGTCAGTTGCTCATTAATCGTGTTGCACAATCACCCAACAACATTTAGCCGGTGTATTACTTTTCAAAACTCTTATTACTTCAAACAATTCAAAGTGTGTGTACAACACACATCATTAAGTGTGAATTGCGTCTTTTCATGTATTATGACCAATAGTATCCACAATAGACTTTCATTTCGTGATCTTCATTGTCATTCATTTTACTAACTATTTGCAGCATAAACAAGTTTCATGTCAATATTTTGTTGTTGATCGATTCCATCTTTCTCTGATAATGAGATCTCAACAATCATTAAAGTTCCCAAGTGCTTTTATACTTCTTCTGGAAGTTGATTCATCATAGTCGGAAACTATTCAAATTTAAAGATTCTTATTAATCCTAATCACTCGTATTTGCCATATCTCTAGATTAAAAACCTTGTCTTTTACGAGGATTTTTATTGTTGGAATCGATGGTTCTACCACTCATCAAATGGTCATTCAACTAAAGAATAGTGGTAGATAGTCCTTCAGGGAAACATTATCAAATTCTGAGTTTTAACAGCCTTTTAGATAAGATATATTTACACATTCGGTCAGGTAAACATCTGGTCTTCAACATTATCTCTTGAATTTCAGGTTCATATCATGGAGGATCTGAAGAGATAATGATCTTGTCCATTTCATTTATGAATCGGCTATTTTTACTTCTTCCCCTGATGTTGGGATAACTAACTCCCTAAAATGATGATTAACCAATCGAGCAGTTAAGAATCTCCCTTTCGTAGTAACAAACTCGTCAAACTAATATGATTAATCTATCGAGTAGTAAAACCCATCCCCAATAATATAAAAAACCGGAGTTTTAAAATCCAACATATATTCTTAGCCTCTTCTTGAGGATCCATATTTTTATGCATTGTGGTGGAGCAATTATCATAAATAAACTGCACATTTACATATCTTGAAGATGGATATGGATGGTTTCTGACCGAAAACTAATATTTGGGAGAATATTTAGAATGACTCGTTCGGTCTTATGCATATAATTAGTGCCTTCTTAAGTGGTGATTTTATTTAATTGATCACATGCGATAAACGACTCTACTGGACCGATTTATTATTACTCTTATAGGCACTCAATGTTCAACTCTTATCATTTTGAGATTGAGTCATACACTCGCCACAACTATCAAATTAAATTCTCGTAAGAGCAGAACATGAAACTCTGCAAGTTATCAAATTAACTCCATAATTAAGTTTTTGCAAACTTTAGGTTGCAAGTTAACGAGAATCATACGTGTGGCTATCTTATCGATACATCGATTGATACTCTAAAAATGTAGATCAGAAAGTTATTTGGATAATATTTTCTTTTCCATTGAGTTTTGTGTTTAAGAGGTAAATGAGTGAAAATGTAAAATGACCTATTGTCCAAACAAGATCACTTTTACATTTCCTCCCCCTTCCAATCTTTTCCTGAATCCGATTCCCTAAACCAAACCAAACCAAACCAAACCAAACCAAACAGAAGGAAGCATACATTTTATCTTACGGACCGCAGGAAGGTTCTCTACAAAAATTGCCAGCATGCCATTGAGGTCAATGAAGATGAATTTTACCCAGAAGAGTTAAAATTGGGTGTTGTTAATACTCAATTACAGAGGCAATCGTTCACTCCGGCCACATTTGATGGGAAAATTTGTCATACATCCATAAAATGGGTATTCTCTAATCTCTATGCTAAAGAATAGTCCTATCAAAAAGTTATCAACATGAATTTTAAATATATTCTCTCAATCAGAAACATCAATACCACTACCTGTAGGAGAAAACTTAGGGTGATATCTTTTGGGCTCAATTTGATCAAATCGAATCCGAGAGAGTGAGCATCAGCATCTACAACAATATGTATCGGCTGCTTTGTAGAGTTCAATAAACTACACGAGGAGGAGGCTGCCAGATCAAAGAGTTCTCATCATTCTCACCACCAGAATAGGCTGCATAAGTCATAGGTCGCTTTTGTTAGTTTTTGCATAAAAGATTGTACTCCCTCTGTCCCAAAAGAATAGTTCACATTGAGTTTTGAGATTTGTACTAAAAAAATTCATATTGAGTTTAAAGTATAAACCTCAAAACTCAATATGGACTATTATTTTGGGACAGGGGGAAGGGAGACAACTTATATTTCATATGCTCCTGCAAATTTGAGCTTAATAAAAAATAGCTTTATAGATTAAATGCACCACCTTTCTAAGTTGCTCGTGAAACAGATGGCGACTGTCTCTCTTTACTAAAAACATTGATATCTTCAATAAGTTTCCTCTTCAGTGACTGTGGTACCTTTGAAGTGAAATTCATCCCTGCATCCTTGATCAATAACCTCCTACAGGACAGAAGGCGCAGAAAAGTTATGAAGTACATAAAAAATTTTGGTACATGAATTAAAAGCTAATCATTTCACTAAATTTAGTCCAGCTGTGTCACAATAATCAGCAAATGAATATGAAACAATATGGGGTGCCACAAACCACCCAAAACCCAAACTACATTAATTATGACATATTCAACACACGAAGTCCACCCACAATGAATAACTGTTACAATAACCATACAGCCAAATCAAACTGCATCATCTTCTCTCCACTATGAAGCTTTATCAGAAAGCTAGCTCGGTCAGTGGCGAATAAAGCACACACGGGTACCAGAAAACAGAAGTTTAGGACACCAAAACAAGATATGGTAAGATTAAGACCATCTTGTTTACGATTATTATCGATATTAAAACTCCAAACCACCTATCAAGTTGCATTTCACAATCATACATCTAAAGCCTACCAAGGGAGATTACTCCTTACGTTTAAACACGATGAATTTGAATCACCCTCCAAATAATGGCTTCTCAGATAGCAATTCAAATTACAGTAACTTTTTGCTCTAATAATCAGTAAGAATATAGCATGAAATATTCCACATTCAGCAAATGTGCAAAATCATCCCTTCATTCAATGCAACAAAGATCCAAGACTTACTTCAGATCAGTGAAATCTGATGTATCAGATTCAGTCCTTGAGCGCTTCTTATGAGACTGCATAAACTTGTAAACTTCATCAGACCAACCACACGATACAAGAAATAATGACGCCTCTTTCTTCAACCTGAAAGGCAAATAACCTACCGTTAGATGTAAATCAAAGAATAACAAGCGAGCATAAGAGATTCTAACACTGGATAGTGATGGCCTATTTGAAATCCATTTTGCAAGCTGCAGAAACTCAATCGTGTTAAAGCCTATACTACAAGAGCCCCCTTCCAGAAAAGTGGAAATTGAAAGTGCTCAATCAAAAACTCCCAGTTAAAAGGGCCAAGAGAAACATAAACCCATACCCAGAGGTGGACATAAATAATACACATAAGCATAACTGACCATCGATTGCAAACCAATGCATTAAATTCACATGTCAAAGGCAAGACGATAAAATGACCATTATCAGATATCAAAGTTTTGCACCCATGTAGGTACATGATCAAGTTAAACTGATACATGTACCGACTACCACTTCACGATTATGCTTCCCAATGTTAAATGGTACTTCATAGGCAGAAAGAGGAAAATATTCCCACAAAGGAGAAACTGCAGATGCTGATCAAGTGCGAAAGAAACTTACACTTCCTTGAACTTTTCCACTTCGGTAGAAGATTGAGCATCTTTGGAGAGTAATATGCAAGATTCTCTATCTTGTAACTTCCTTTTCAAAGTTACACCGTCAGAATTGCATCTGACGTTTCCGTCGGACAAGTCCATGCCAAGAGAAACTTTTCCATTTGCAAAGTTACCCTTACCATTACTACATCCATCCCCATCTGATGAATGTCCATTTACATGAATATCACGGTAGCCACCTGTTGTAACCAAAGGAAGTTTCCCCTTTAAAGAATGAAAGGTACCATTTGGTCTAACATCTCTAACACCACTTCCATTACTTAAAATTTGTAAATTGGTCTGCTTATGTCCCACAACTGAATCTGCATGGTTGTTTTCCACCTTAGCTTCGCCATCCACTTCATGAACTGCGTCAACCACATGACCATTCCCATTCTCAATTTTAGATGTCCCATTTGCTTTAATATAAAGTGGTTTCAAAGTGCCGGATGTATAATCTGCTCGAATATTGTGAATACCATTCCCATTACTCAGAGTCCGCACATTCTGTCCTCTGTTTTCACCACGTACGTCTGTTTGATTGCAGGTTTTCTGATTGGGATCCTTCCTATGAACAATGATTTTAATACCGCCATTTGCATGATTTTTTTTGGGGCTAGAACCATCAAAGACACCCAACTTTATCGAAGGATCAGAAGCCCCACTCTCAACCTTCGATACATTTGAATTAATATTCTCACGGCCAAGATCCGACAAATGCTTCGTGGAGCTCATTACTTCTTCTGTTACACAAGAGCTTGAAGTTTCAGAAGCATCACTGCCATTAGAATGATGGCTTTTTGATCCATTGGCTAGTAAGCGTGTCTTCATAAGTGGAGGCCTCTGCTTAGAACGGGTAAAGAAAAGAATATAAACCTTCTCAGACAGAACTTCTTCAACGTTTGAAAGTCTGACACAGGAATCATTGCAGCAATACCAGCGGCCAAAAGCATCCTGTTCATTCCTCAGTTAGAAAAACAAAAAACAAAACCCCAAAAATACACATGCTCATGCAAGTAGAGACTATCATGTTAAACACCATATGGGAGAAAGAAATTACCTTTATATATGCAAAATAGTGTCCAGAATCAGGTGAAAATCCAGAATGCACTATGGTACCACAAAGTCTATACTCAGGGCACAGATCCTGCCACAAATAAAACAAGCCGACTATTACTCAACAATGAAAAGAAACCCTCTCTCTTATAGGAGCAAGTCACATAAAGATCACAGAATAGGACAGAACACTTTCTCAATTTATGAATTATGACAGTCTACGATGATTTAACCCAGTTTTGCAGATTCATTATTGACAGCAAAATGTCTACTAGGTAGAGAGGATTATAAATTATTCCTGAACAACCAAAGAATGAAAGCTTAGAAATCTTAACCAGAAAAGCCGATATTTTTAAGCTATAGAATACTATGAAGAAGCCAAACAGAACCAGCAAATGTTGTTAAATATATGTGTGTGTGTGTGTGTGTATATATATATATGTATGTATGTATAGAGAGAGAGAGAGAGAGAGAGAGACTTCTTTTGATCAGTTTCTGTGTTTTAGGACAAGACGTTAGCCCTGATTGAAAGAACACCATAACTATGATTGATCTGAACATGAACTTAACCTATCAACTTTCAAAAACGATCAAATATCTGGCTTCTAATTGTTGCCTGACTTATCTACACGTTTGCAAAGGTATCATACTCTTGCCTAAAAAGATTACATTTGTAGAGGTATCCACATGTTTGCCAGTTACGTAATTTCTTATCTCAATTGCCTTTTTGACTACTTTGTTTTCTGTTAAAAAAAGCTCAGTCCAAAAGGATGAGTTGGTGTCAAGTGCTTAGTAAGCTTTCTCGCCTGAATCAACAGAAATTCCAAAAAATTTGCAAATAAATCCACAAGCATGTGCAAGTAAACTTCAAAGACCTAGGGGAAGGACACGTCTGATATCCCCGCCTAGGCAGCTTCGTCAAAAGTTTCATTTTGTACACACTCTGGTAGAGGATAAGAGTTGAGGATCATGAGCTGCACTGTAGTTTTCTCTTTAATTCCTTTTTTGTTTTCTGCCTTTATGAGCTAAGGGACATCCAGTGAATACTAAATACCAAAATTATCTCTTTATACTGCTTTTTCCCCTCAGCATGTATAGCAATCAAATTTCAACTAATACAATGAAGAACAAGTAGATGAATTTTTAGTCTTCATAATGGCCATGAGATCTCAAATGACCAAAAGTGAAAACAAACAACTGCATGAGAGAATTTTCTAAAACATATGCTTTATCATGTCCAGAAGCTCATACGGTTCAGAAGATTAGCATTTTATCAAGTAAGCTATCTCATACAATTCCATGATCTCATGTAGCTCTTATGTAAGTTAGATTTCAACCATTATCAATGAAGAGAAACTGCACCTGGCTTCCTTTGCACATGTAGCTTGAAAGTACTAGAACTTCCTCAAAAGCTATCGCCTTGTCGATCTTCCCTCCTAAAATGCCTTCAAACCTCTGTGAAATTGAACAAAATCAATTAAAACATCATAGCTACTGTGGAGTTGAATAAAATGCACACATGGACTAGAAGTGCAATAAAGAAAAGAAATAAACATGGACCACCTTGAGCTGAATTACGAGAACATTTGGCGCCTGAAGTATAGACATTTGCTTCCTTGCCGCCACCAATTTCTTGCAACTAAAACAAAAACAATCCCTCAGCTTGACATTATAATTAAACAAAAACAGAAAAGAGGAGAGGCAAAGAACAAATATTATGGAGACATAAGAGAACACGTCAGAGAATACTTACTGGTCACACCGATATTTATTACTGCCATCCAAAATCTCATGTTGAAAAAACCTCTGCAAAGATTCTTTCAGAGAGCCACTGTGCAGGATATCGAGGCTGATATCCATGATCTCATCCACCTTATTTGACTCAGCCCCACAAGAGAGACACTTCACTTGACTCTGCAGAGCACCTCCAAATATTTCCTTGACAATTGTGCCCTCATACCCACTATCCCCACCTTTTCTTCGCAGCTGTAACTTTTTCAGCCTGAGACACGTATTGTGGCATGCATCGATTACATACCGCAAAAATTCGTGAGCGTCCTCCTGCCTTCCGTGCCTAAAATGCTCCGCAAAGATCTTTAAACAGTTGTTCATCTTCAATGGCGCATCTAAATTGGACTCCGACATCAAAGACCGTAATATCCTTTTCTCTAAAATACAAAATGGACATTCTCTCTTCTTTTCGGATGCTGCTGCAGCAGCTATATCACCTGCATTTTTGACCACGTACATGAGCAAATTAAGAAACATAATCAAATTGAATCATGCCGAAATAGTTTATCCTCATCAATTGTAGCATTCTGCAGATATTTGAGAATGATCTATAGTAAACATACTTGTACAGCAGAATTTTCAAATTATACACTCAAACTACAGGAAACTAATAACGATCGTTATGACCGCATTTAACTCAAGCAATTCAACAATATCAAAAAATAAAAAATTTAAAAAAAAAAGAAGAAGAAAAGGGCAAATAACGATATTAGAGCTTCAGGAAATTTTAAAAACCACAAAAAGTGCGTAGGGAGCTAAGATACTCACATGAAGAAGAGTGCTGAGATTTGAGGCAAAAATTGGCCAAGGGAGGAGTGTAGGTGAGACATTGAAGCACGGAGTTGAGGTAACAAGTATTGCCGAGGTTTCTAAGCCCTAGAGGCGGGCCGGACTTGCGTTTCTGGCTGAGCGAGCTCGGCTGCCACGTCATCTGCAGGACGGCCATTAACGACCTGATTCCTCCACGGACAGAGTCGCCTCCGCCTCCACCGCCGCCACGACATCGGTTGCCACCGGCCCCGATGGCATCGCCCGCCGGTCCCCCTATTTACTCTCCCTCAAATTAAAACTTTCCCGCTCTTTGGAGGGAAAAAATTGGAAAGTGAGCTTCCGAAATTAGGGTTTAATCACGATTTATCGGGTGTAAAACGGTAAGAATAAACGGAATCAAAAATCTGTTATTCGCAGAAGAAGAGGGAAGAGGGAAGAGGAAAGTTTCGAGAAGAGGAGGAAAACTAGAAAAGTCCCCCACCAAACCCCCCGGGAGAAACAAAAAAAAATAAAAAGAAGATGGAATTGGTCGTTTTTCTTCCCTTTTCTGTCCTGTTTCGGGGTCCTAGTTAAATTATAGAAATTGTTTGGGCCAAAAATAAAATCTCTTTCTTTTTTTGTGGTTAAAAAAGAAAATTTCTTTCAATAAACGATTTTAAGTTCAGGTGGCTCACAAAAAAGAAAGAATTTCCCCAATCACAAATTTTCAAAGTTTCAACAATTATGTTTGCAAAATTTATGTGCCCTCAAAATTTAAGGTCTTACTTTTAATAAATATTTTAATCCTCTGAAAAATTAATTGCTCCATTATCTAGTCATTGGTTCTAATTATGAAACACAAATTTGAATTTAGTGTTAACTATTAGTCTATCAGTGCAAACTTGTGCTTTATAATTAATTAAAGAACGGAGAGAATAGTTTTAAAAATTAGATTCATGAGATTTTTATTGAAATTGGATTCATGAAATTTGTATTGTCATTTGAGATGAGGTTGGTAATTATGTTTGGATCATTTGTTCCGTATGTGTTTTTATGGTTTTTTTAAAAAAAATGTAAAAAAAGAGTATATTAGAAATGTAAAATGTAGGACGGAATAAAACATTTATTAATTAAAAAATATTCAGAAAAACCCTAAAGAAAACAACCAAACATGTACATCATCCATTGTATATAATAATAACAGTGAGCAATTTTTAAGATTATATAGTTTCATTTTCAAAATTTCGTTTTTAAAGAAAAAAATTACTACTTATGATACGAAAAAAGTAACAAAAACACGGCAACATTGTTCATCTACCATTAGGAGCAACCGACATGACGGGTCGGAATCTGGTATGCCAAGTGTAATGTCCAATACAAGTATACAACAGCTATTTTTAGTTTCAAGAAGATTGAAAAACTCCTCCTCAATTGTCAAGGGTGTTTCTATGCACGTGTTGTAAACTCGTAGTAATTTGTAACAGAAACAAGAGAAAATGAGTGTCTAAAAACTCTCAAGTCTCAACCAAGAATGTCCAACCTCTTCATGTAAAAACTTTAGAAGGTTAGATCATGATGTTCTCAACTTTACATTCATAAAATTCCCAGGTCTTTCTTCCCCTAACCAACCAAAAGACAAAAAAGAAAAGAAAAAAAAAAAGAATCAGTCATCTATAACCAGCTGCATCTTGCAGAGACGCTCGTGCATGGATTCATCAGCGGCGTATTAAACTTGTGGCGCCAGTTTTCGTGGCAAGTGTAGAAGCAGGAGGAGGAACCAAAAGCCGATTTGTGGCCGTACAAGTGTATTACTTACAAATGTTAAAAAAGAATGTTTGTCTGCTACATGTACGTGTTTTACTGATTGGAAGATGAAGAAGCTACTAATGGGAGGGATTGAGCTTGAGATTGACCTGAATTGATCTTGGTAGCTTCCTTTTTTAACTTGTGATTGTTGTAGGCAGCTACACCTGCAATAGCTGGAAGAAGAGGTGCAGAGTAACACCTTGTTACTAAAGTATCTAAAGCTCAGAGTAGGATATCTATCAACCTAATGAGCTAACATTCAATCATCATAAACTTTACAAATATGAATGCAGAACAACCTAAAGCCTGGAGTTGCATATCAAAGTAATTGAGTAACATATATCAGCATAATGAGCTAACATTTAATCATCGTAAACTTCACAAATATGAATGCAGAACAACATTACCAATGCCATAGCCACAGAGATTGATGAAAGTGAGATTCACATCGGCAAAAAGAAATGCTGATAATAGGACAACCACCCAATCTTTGACAACACCAGCCACACGGATGGTAAGAGCACTTGTATGTTGGATGACAAGAAAAACTGAGAGATTGAGAGCAAAGGTACAAAGAGAATTAAGAGTTAACACAAGGGGAGGGAAATTCCATGTCCCCGCTTCTTCCATCTTTGGCTTCTCCAAAAATATCCAGGGAATTAAGAGGCAAAGAGCACTGCATGTCAAACCAACACCTGGTTACCTATCAGCAACTTGTAAGTCTTAACCAGAAGCATATATCACAAATGTTACCAGATACATGCCTGCAAGGGCTAATGTAGTACATGACAGATATTGGGTTTAACTTGATACCCTTCCTCTTCACTAGAATCTCCATGAATATAAGCCTCAAAGCCTCTCCAACAACACCTCCCATTTGATAAACGACACCAACCCAGTTGATATCCATTTCACCATAAGAAGCCACTAGCACACCAAAACTGATTACTGACATTATAAGAAGCATCTGACAACTCATCATTTCCAGACCCGCAGCCACTCCAAGAATGAAAACAGCAACTGGCACTGCAGGTATAATTAGAGTCGAAAAACTAAGATCACAATTGGGAAAATTGAAAAGTTGCTATATAGACAAATGATTCAGGAACGACAATTGTGAATAAGTTGCAAAGTGTGTGATTGAGTGATTATAGTGGAGTACAATGTAAAGCAAACATGTCTGATCCACTGCAAAAGTGTAGGCTTACTGATTGCTTTCAACATCTGAGCAAAGGCAACAGATATATAAAGGTAAGCAGTGTTTCCAAGCCAAAGTGTCATAGCGAACATTGCACCAATTGGTATGACTGATGAAATATATCTGGATGTCCAAAGGTTGGGGAAGAAATCATCATTACCACATAAACAAAAGAGCAAACTCAACGACAAAGGAATTCAAAGGCAAAGATGCAGGGGAAAAGTTACACGAAGAAAAAATAATATAATGATTCCAAGAGATAGTAGTATTTCTTGAAGGTGAAACACTTGCAACATGTAAACCAAAAGAATACTAAAGAAGTATAAAGGGTCGAGCCACAATAAACAAATACATACAGAAAAACAAAGAAAGAAGCCATAGCATATCAAGAAAGGACAAGAGAGTGCTCACATATCAAGAGTCATCCCTTCCTCAACTTTCATAATCTGCAAGTTACAATAACAGAAGTTACAGTCTGCTCATATGAAGGAATTTTGTAAACATACTCATATCGAAAAGATGACAATGCCCAAAATTATTGAACTTTTAATACCTTGAGAACTTTTGTAAGCACAAAACACAACACCGAGGAGAAAATCATGTGAAGTAGAGTCAATCCAAGTGGATATGGAAAGTTTATTTCTTTCGAGGATAAAACCCACTGCAAAGCACCAACTTATAATCAATCATCAACAGAAATGAGAACCAAAAAGCAATAAAAAGCCCATCGAAACATTTCATTAACACAGAAAAGTGTGGATTCGTGAAGTTTAAAAAATGACAAGCCGTGGTAAGCTTTAACGATCATTTTCTTGTCAAAGTAAAATTGTCTAAGCAAATATAAAATCAAAATTGAACACAGAAGAAGGAACTTTGGAGATGAAAAGCTTCCCTTAGCCAAAAGCTCGAAGAAACAGTATATCATAGAAACAGATACCAAAGATAACAACAAGAACTTACAAAATCATATGACAGTAAAAAATCCTTCATCAACAAGTATACTGAACTTCTGATTCATCGGAACCACCACATAAACAACGCGGTTCTCAACCCGTCAACCACGGCTCATAAAAACAGGTGATCAACCATTTGCAATACTGTATATTGATTTTAACATAGCTGGTCCCTGTTGTCATTTTTAACATATATCTATTAGGAATCTACTTGAGAGTTTTTCTTATATTGTATTCCAATCTGAACGTGTAATATCTCACAGGCCCTGAATGCAGCATTAGCAAAAAACAGTGGATACTGTTTACAAGTTCCCTGGCCAAATAAATTGCCACAAGTCCATAACCCCACGTGAAGCCACTCAAAAAGAACTCCAACTTGGTTCAGAAGAATGCATTTTGCCATTTTCATTTTCAAAGGCTGAACTTTGGGGATTAAGCACTGCTATCTATTACTAAGCACTGAGTAAGAAAAGGTTAATGTGATCAAAACGCAATGAGCATTACAAGTTCTTCCAATACAGTGTACCTACCATGAATGGCACTTTTCACAAGTCAACACCAAGAAAAGAAATGCAAAAGAACCCATTCCAATTTCAACCCTACAACAACGGTAGCACCCAAAAGACAAAGAAACCAAACACAAGTTCAATTGGAAGAGCATAACGCAAATGAAAGAAAACACAAAAGAAAATGAACCAATATAATCATCAATCGAGAACAATCAAGAAGGGAAGTGTGGGGGATAAACCTTGTTAAAGAAGATCTGACCACTGGAAAGAGCAATATAAAGAAGAAGGTAAGCGTAGGTTACGAACTCGCTGCTCAATCTCTTCGATGATGGATCTGCCATTTTCCCCTTCAAATGGAAACACACTGAGACAAATCACTCTCTTACTCTTAAGACAGCAACTGAAAGAAACTAACAAGGGAGGGAAACAAAAAAAAAATGGCTGGCTTTTTTGGGCTTTTTAGCCCTTTTTGATAGGAAGAAGAAATACTAGCAAATAAAAAAGTTGGGCTCCTTTGCTTCCAAATTGGGCATTGCAAGTTGGGTGAGACTTTTTGACTTTTCAAGTTTCCTCGCAATAACTTACCGTCTTACACGTACTAGTAAAAATATTGTAACATAATTTATTTACGAGAATATTTCACATAAATTAATGTTAAACTAGATGTTTGGCCCAGGCAGATGCCCGGGCGCCCCTTCTAAATTACTATTTTATTAAAATCTAATTGAATTACTATTTTTTGATGAATTAATTTGGCGTATATATCATTTATGCTATGATTTGGGGCTTAAAAAAATATACCTATAAATATGAGGTTATAATGGAATAATAAATAATTAGTTTATAATGCATTATTCTTAATTGCTGGATTTATGTATTTTTATTTTTTGTTTATATTAAGCCCGCAAAACTATACGATTGGACATTTGAATTTGAATTAATATATCCATTCGTTTGAAATGTAACTGATCCTTATTTATAGTAAAACATGTGTTTTTTAAAAAAAAAAAAATTATATAACTTCTAATTAAAAGAGACTTACACGTGGCAAAAAGACTCCTGAAATCTGAAATATGGTGTATTGGAGCCAAAACAGATGCATACTTAGTTGCCACATAAGTTTCATGTCTTCTGCTTTAATAGGATAAAAGGGATCATTCTCATTAAAAAAAATAATAGTAATAAGATTAATGCTTGGTATAGTTAGGGTACCTTCTAGTCTAATCTGCTTATTATTTAGATGCTGATATCCTTTCATTCACACATCCATCACATTCATTTGTTAGAAATGGTTTTTTTCTTATGGGAGAGCTTTAAAGCTCTTATTATTATTATTATCAAGAATTACAGTTCAATTTTAGAAGTTACAGAACAATTGACAGCTACTTATAAGACACTATGAAAGTATCAGAAAATATAACTATTTGTTATAATTCACAATGGAATCGAACTGTATCATAATGCTATGAGATTTAGTACGCTCAAACGCGAAATTGAGAATCTGATTCCTACTTTTATTGCAGAAAATATGTAGATACGAAAAAAATAGGCTAGTCAAGCTGTTAAATGGTCAAACCACAACGGATGCGATAGGCTAAACAAAATGTAGACTTAAGTGGAGATGTATAATAATACTAATCACTACTTTTTAGGTTTTAGTTCAGTTATAATAATTTAGGTGCCTCTAAAATATCAATGGACAATAGATGCCGGATGCCGGTAAATAAAAATAAAATAAAATTTTACCCTCATAGAGATATAGAGGAGTGATAATTTGTCTTTCAATTAAAATGGTGTATTTCTTTTTCTTTTTTTAAAAAAAAATTACAGTGTATTTTAAAACCATCCATGTTCGATTCAAAAGTTCATTTAACATATTAAAACATGAAACTATATATCGTTTTATTCATATCCTTTAATACCTTTCCTTCTCATTGTAGTGGAACTTCTTGTTGCAGAATTAGTTTTACTAATACTTAGATAATGTCAACGTACTATTATTATAGTAACTAGAAGTGAAGTAGACGAAGTCGATGTGCTTGTTTGTCTAACACTTATTTTGCATTTTTGTCTCACTTTACCTCTTAAAACACCTCTCAAACACAAATCTCAATGCTATTCAAACAATTTTTTAATTTACCTTTTAAAAAATATTCCAAAAATTATTTTTACACAATTTTCATCCACCACCACCGGACCACCTACACCACCATCCGCCGCCACCGGACCACCCGCCGCCGTTGCCGGACCACCACCGGCCGACCAGATTCTGACCAAATTTCGGTGGCCGGAATCAGGCCGGCCGGACGGCCGTCGAGGTTTAGATTTTATCTCAAACCACATTTTAAATCACATCTCAAACCCAAATAAAAAATCAAAACAAAATGTTGGCCAAACAAGCCTTATAAAATTGCATACTATGTAACATCTTGGAATCTTTTTTGCGGCTAATAATATTATCCTATTGTTGTTCAAAAAAATCTTTATTACTTGGTTGAGCTTCCATGAAAATGCAATGTCCTAAATTATCAAAATGTGGTGGATTAATCAGAGAAGGTATGATTGTAAATGGAAATTCAAGGATCAACTCCGTTATTTTCTCTAAGATTGAGGACAAAACTACAATTTCTACATTACCAAAATTTATAGTGTATCTATGGGAAGTAGGCATACTCAAGGTTCCGGTTCGAACCGAAACCAAACCGGAATCGAATTAGAAAATAAAGTTCTGGTTCTTGAACCGTTTTTAAAAGTTCTAAAACTGTAACTGAATTTTGTATTAGTGGTTTGGTTAAGGTTCTATTATTTTTAAAACCGTGAATCAACGGTTCTAACCGAAGGTTTTGAACCGTAAAAGTCAGCAATTCAATTGCTGGTTATATTGTTTTTTATAACTTTAAAAAATAGATAACCTACCAACAGAGTTATTTTAATATTTTTTAAAAAGTAAAAAAAAAAGGTAAATTGGTGGTTCAATTATCGGTCAAACCATTGCATATTATGATAAAAACTATCTATTTTCTTTTTATAGATAATGTTTGCAAGGATGATTTTGTTGATTGGAGTTACTTTTAACAATAACAAGACTCTACCAATAGTTGTTATAAAACATTCGGCCTAAGAGCCCATTACAGAATCACCTAACTAAATACACCAATATCAGGTGTGTATTTATACGCGCCGCGTAACCCGTCCCTGCTTTTTTTTTTTTTAATTTTTCTCCCCCAGTTTATTCATTTTCTCCAGCAAACTAAAAAAAAAACCCTCGCCTCATTTTCTTTCCCAGTTACTCAATTCCATCTCAGTCTCGTTCAAATTCGAGAAATCTTCGAATTGTTCATCATTCCGAGAAGAAGAAGATGCGAAAGATGAATATTGTGTTAATAGATTGGAAGAAGATGGCATACGAATCACTTTGAAGTTTACGAATTTGGGGAAAAATCTAGCAGCACTTCTCGTTGAATCTCGTCTGTTTTGAAATAGGGAGAAAAATTTGAATTTATGTTAATATATACTACGCGTGTAAATCTCCTTAGATCTAATTTTCTGTTTGGAAAGTAACATCCACTTTCTAAGTATGGGTAGGATCCTTTACCCCAACTGGCGCCAGGGTCTTTTTTGCCACTTTCAAGCACCATGTATTATTACTTTTCATATAGTTAAAAATTTGAAGTATACATTCTATATATCGTCCTATTTTTTTTTTTCAAATATTAAAAAAGTAAATTCTTACTCCACATTTCATATTACTTTTCAAAAAAGGAAAAGAAAAAGATTCATTTAAAAAAAAATGATCTAATCAAAATATTATAACCAAAACCGCCACAACTTATAAATAAAAACCAGAACTATAATAGAACCGGAAATAAATCGAATCCGACGGTTCTTGAACCGTAACTGGAACCATGGTATAAAGAAGTTTCCGATTTTTATTTTTATCAAACTGGAACTGCCGATTCTAAAACCGTAACTGACGGTCCGTGGGCATGCCTAATGGGGAGTCAAGATTTCCACGCCTTTAAAAAAATTCAATGCAAATCTTTTTCGAGGCGATTTTCAAATTTAGAAAAAATGGCCAGAGTCCTCCAACAGACTGTTTTCCCCCCTCGGATGAGAATGATGAGATAATGACGATGACGCCACTGAATTTGCCGAAAGATTTTTTTATTAAATAAAAGAGAAACCAAGATCACTTGCGACCGAAGAATTAATTAATAATTCAAGGCCTTTAAAAAATTCCGGAAACTTTCAGCAATTTGTATTTTATAAAAGAACATAGTAATAATAATCTAGAGGTGAATTCCTACTGTCAAGCAGTCTAGCATCTTTTAATTGAATGTTGATGATTATGCATGAGGCTTATCAGTAAGTTCAATTAGTTGTGCTTAATTCTTTGTTTTTCTATTTTTCTTTCTTTTCGTTGGTTGGCAATGTTTATGTGCTTTCCTTTTTGCGCATTGATGAATGTCATGTGTTTGTTTTTTTGCCCATGTTGAACTTATCTTGGCACCCAGGCCGAGGAGAGAATTCAAAACATGAATTTTTATACTGGTTTCCTGGGCTAGTTTGATTGCCCATCTGCTTTAATTTCAATCCCTTAACTGGGCTAAACTCTTACTTGTAGAAATCATAGTTCTGATTTGCAAAGTTAATTAATCTGTTCCTAATATGCTTTGACAGGACAAAGTGTTCATGTGCTCTGCTGGTTTCTAATATCATCAGGCAAAGGTGACTGTCCAGTGGCTCAGAGAACAAGGACTTAAACAGGGCACCACCAATCTCATCTTTTTATTGGTATATTATTATCCAGAATCTGAACCAAAGGAATTTTTTAACCCATGTATGGACAAGAAAATCAAGATGCTGATGTATTTTTTTGTTATTTCTTTAACAGATAATGACCCATTATTATATCAGTACCATACAAAAAAGGCAGAATTATAATAGATCAACTAGGTGACTGTGTGTGTACTGTCTTTAGAGCTCAGTGTGATAATGGATTTTATAGATGCAAAAAACAGGGGGAAAAAATGGGGTTTTTTTTTTCTGAAAAATATTTCAATAGGGATGATAATGAAGAAAAGACTCTGAAACACACAAGAGGCTTGTGGTATTGAGGCCAACCATTCCCTCCTGATTGGATGTGGTTTAAAATTCTCACCTCCAAAAACTCATCCTCAAATTTGTGCTTCTCTTCTCTTCTTGACTCCCCCACCCCATTTGTCTTCATCTCAATTCTTATAACTCCAATCATTATTATTTTTTATTATTTTCTTGGATCACTCTCTCTTTTCCTTTAAAGTTTATCTATCTATTACTTCTCCACTAGTGGTTTTCCCTCTGCATGCACTCTTCTCAATAGTCCTGCAGCCTCAAGGTCTGCTCTCTACTTCTCTGTCTGTTCTGTATATGTCATCTCAAGGTTATTTTCATCAGCCAATCCAGTGATCAGTACTTGCTGTCCTTAATCGTTTCATTCATGTATTTGCTTACTTACTTCTCGTATGTGCTGGCTTCTGTGATGTTAATTTGATTCGGGGCTGCCTTATTCTTGGAAATCTTACTCGGGGCAGTTTACTGTTGTGTCTTGGAATGGTTCTTGCTCAATTAAAGTCTTAGTCTTTAGAGATTTGAGTGTAACTAAGCTGATATGCAATTGATCATGCATGTTCCCGTTTAGATGTTCAGATTTTAGACACCTCACAAGTCAGAAAAGGACTGTTAGTGTTTTCTAAGTATTGGCTGGCTATGTTAGAGCATAATCCATTATTCAAACTGAAAACTAAGATCCTGTTTGGAAGAGGTAAACCTTTGTCGTTCTGATTAGGAATCTTGTTTTGCTGTTAAAAATTCAGGATCTTTAGAGGGAAAAGTTAAGAAGAATCACCATCAAAGATGGAGATCACCAATGTCACCGAATATCAGGCAATTGCCAAGGCAAAATTACCGAAGATGGCCTACGACTACTATGCATCAGGTGCAGAGGATGAGTGGTCACTGGAGGAGAATAGAAATGCTTTCTCAAGAATCCTGTAAGATACTTAACAACGAAGTTACAGGTTCATGTTGTCTATTGATCATGTGTAACCATAATTCTTTTCATTGTAACAAAAACAGGTTTAGGCCAAGAATTCTGATTGATGTTAGCAAGATTGATATGAGTACTACTGTTTTGGGATTCAAAATTTCGATGCCTATCATGATTGCCCCAACCGCTTTTCAGAAAATGGCTCACCCTGAAGGTTAGATACTGCAGTCCTCGTCTTGAAAAGATAGAAACAGTCAATAACTTATAACTGTGCCTGTTTGATTCATTGAGTTCTTTGAATGAAAATTTCCGGAGACTCAGAAAGATGGGAACTGAACTGGTTTTATTTGCTTTTTAATACATTTCAAAGGCTTGTCTTTTTTTCTTCTTTTCTTTTTTTTTTTTCTTTCTAAAACTTTGTAAACATGAGCACTTATCCGTCCTCACAAATTCGCTTGAATTCCTGTGTTTTCATATCCAGCATCTGAGTTGTATTTGAACTGGTTCTATATACCCAGCCCCTTTTTGGCCTCCTACTTGATTTTTTTTGCTATTTTATCTTTCGACTGCTGGCTGCTTCATGGGATATGTGCCGTCCTGTTTGTGAAAAATGTGTTTCTATGGATTCTTGGTTTTGTCCATATCAAAAGCAGAGAAGAAGGGATGATAATGATCTTTTCTATTTTAAGTAAAGATTGTATCATTTTTATGCCACCTATTGAGTAACGGTGGAAAGAAAAACCTGAATGGTCAATTAGTGACTAGGTGGATTTAAGCAAATTTCATGTCAACATTCTCTTAAACGTTATGCTGTCTGACTTGGGGACTAATTCCATGTAGGTGAGTATGCAACTGCAAGAGCGGCATCAGCTGCAGGAACAATTATGGTAAGTAACAATCCTTTCTGATTCATTTTATACATTTCTCCTTGAACTTGAGTTAGAAACACATCCTACTGGAAACTCAATTAGGTCATCAAAATATATTAATTGATATCAAGATTTGTAATATAAATCCATATGTCAGCAGCAGCTTAAGAAATCATATATATTGGTGCTTACATGCTCTAAGAAGCTATGGATGTTTCTGTATTAATGTATCATTTGCTGCCATATTCAGACCCTGTCATCATGGGCTACATCCAGTGTTGAAGAGGTTGCTTCCACCGGACCTGGCATCCGTTTTTTCCAACTCTATGTAAGCTTGAACTAGTAAATTGCAAGATACTTTTTGAGTTTTGAGGTACATTTACTTGTCAATCTCCATGTAAATGACAAACGTCGGTTGTCAGGTCTACAAGGACAGGAATGTTGTTGCTCAGCTTGTGAGGAGAGCTGAAAGGGCAGGTTTTAAGGCTATAGCCCTTACGGTTGACACACCAAGGCTGGGGCGTAGAGAAGCCGATATTAAGAACCGGTATTTTTCATTCAAGACATTATCATTGATCCTGAACTTGTTAACTTTGGTTGTTCAATCAGTATGAAGATTTTGATGACCTATCCCTGAGAAGCTTCTGTTTGGATTGCATACAGTTTCACTTTGCCACCATTTTTGACATTGAAGAACTTCGAGGGCTTAGACCTTGGGAAGATGGACAAAGTAAGTTGTGAAACCAAACTCTTCATCTCCATCTTTTGATCTTTGACATCCTTAATCTGATTTGCTCTCTTTGTTTTCAGGCTAATGACTCTGGATTGGCTTCATATGTCGCTGGTCAGATTGATCGCACTCTGAGTTGGAAGGTATGGCTTCTTCTCTTTGGTAGTTGAATGAAACTTGATAGTGTGGCTCGCTCTTATTGAATGTTGGCTATCCAGTTAGTTTCAAATGGCATGACAAATTTAGACTTCAAAGCTCTTGATTGGATAAACTACTAGTCATGATATTTCAATTTCCAAAGTTCTAATCATTGAAACATTGATCCGGCATGAAAATTTAACTTACGGGAGAAATTTGGAATTGAAAGATAATTGAAAACTCTAAAGAGCATGCATAAATATGATCGAGAAGCAAGCAGTTGTGATACTTATTCCTTTCTTAATCACAACAGGATGTCAAGTGGCTCCAGACCATCACTTCATTGCCCATCCTTGTGAAGGGTGTGATCACTGCCGAGGATAGTAAGTACCCTGCTGCCTCTCATAATTGTTTCCTAACTTATCAGTGTTTTTAAGTAAGATAGTTATGAGGGAATAAATCTTGCAGCAAGACTTGCTGTTCAGAATGGAGCAGCTGGTATCATTGTGTCCAACCATGGTGCTCGTCAACTTGATTATGTTCCTGCAACAATTTCAGCCTTGGAAGAGGTACAGCATTTCTTCATATCTATCGAAGTGTTTTACAAATGAATATCTAATAGTTATCCCAGATCTTCTTCTTTTCAACTTCTATGGTACTTTGGTAAAACTTGTTGTTTTGTCAAATATTAGGTTGTTAAAGCTGCACAAGGACGTGTTCCTGTGTTCTTGGATGGAGGTGTCCGACGTGGTACTGATGTGTTTAAAGCCTTGGCCCTTGGAGCTTCTGGCATATTTGTAAGTGCAACATCCAAAGGAGATATAGAGTAAAATTGGAGCTGCCTGTTTCTGTGTTATTTTTCTATGCTTGCATCCCCTACAGTTGAGCCAACAATTGCTTTGAGTCTATGGAGTAGCTTACTGTTCTAATGGACTGTATTGTACATGTCAGATTGGGAGACCTGTTGTTTTCTCGCTGGCTGCAGAAGGAGAAGCTGGTGTTAGAAAAGTACTTCAGATGTTGCGCGATGAATTCGAGCTGACCATGGCATTGAGTGGTTGCACGTCGCTTTCAGAGATCACTCGCAACCACATCGTGACCCCCTGGGATGCTCCACGCATTCCAGCAGCCAAGCTTTGAGAGCTGCAAAATCTATTAACATCTGGCCAAATGCTGCATTAATATTTGATGATTATATTTGTGCTTTCGTCTTTTGAGAGCCATCCCTTCTAAAGGGAGAAAACATCATTTTATGTTTGAAGTTGAGTCTCTCTCTCCCTCTCACTCCCTGAATTGTTATAAGCTTTAGAGTTATGATGGAACACCAACCTATACTTTTGATAATTGGCCATAAGAGCCTGTTTTGTACATTCTTTCTTTCTCTTGGGATGTGATCACCATGTGAACCAGCTGAATAAGTCTTCTTCATGTGTTGTGTTATTATGGGCATCAGTGTTTCAGGGATGGTTTGTCAGAATCACAGGGCAATCTCCTCATGAAAGAATGGTAATGTGGTCGGTCTTTGAAGGTTGATAAACCTTAAAGAACTGACAAGTATAATTTTAAAAGAACCAAAGAGTGGGAAACACATTGGGCATACTGATTTTGTTTTTGTTTTCATTTTAGAATGAAAATGTGTTTCATAATTCTGAAGTTGCAAAAAGTACTAACACGGCCGGTTTCACCATTCGGATCACCACCGAGCTGGATTCCGTTCAACTTGGTCGGATGTTTTGCTTGCTTCAATGATTCGTGATACTTTTGCGGATCATATAGATTAGATTTGTCCCCAAATTATGAGTCAATACAAGTTTAATTAAAGTTCGCATTTTATGTCCGTCTTTTGACGTTATCGATTGTGAATATTTACCCTTAATTGTACCCCAAAAAAAAAAAAAGTATTGTGATAATACACCATATTTTGTCACAAAATCCATTAAGTAACCAATCGTCATGAGTCTCAAAATGTTTGCTAATCCTCATGATTTTATAGTTTTCCAACCATTTGATATGATACCACAAACTACTAGTAGCTACTACAATAGTTCATCACAAATTTAAGAATTTTTTTAATAAGTTTGATAGATTAAAAGATAGCAATTCATTTTCAAAAAAGAAAAGATAGCAATTATAATTATATAATCGTCCCTCCAAAAAAAATCTAGGATTCTAGGTAGAGGTACATATTTTGCTCGGAAAAAAAAAAAAAAAAAGGTAGAGGTACATATAAGTAATTTTACAAAACTTCAGGATTCGATTGATATTTTCTAAAAAAAGATCGAGACGAAAACGACAAGGAAATTTCAGTAGACCGAAAAAGGAGGAAGTGAGGAATCCTTGTGATTCACTCGAAAGTCCAAAACTCGAAACAGAATTGTTGCAAATTTCAGTTGCAGAATAGTTGAATTTGTTGGACTCCCCGATTACTTTTACCGGCCACCACCTCCGGACGATTCGCCACCGTTCCTCTTCTGCTTATCATCCTCTCTTTAGAATGAAGATCGGCCGCCGAGGCCGAGCTGCCGTGGTGGTTCTCGGTGACATCGGCCGGAGCCCCCGTATGCAATACCATGCCCTTTCTCTCGCTCGTCAGGTCTATTTTCTTTCACCAACTCAGCCATTATTCTTTCATGTCAATTTCTTTGTGAATTAGAGTGAATTCCATTATTATTTCATCGAAAATTCCCTCTTTTTCCCCCCGCCTGTGAAGAAATTTGGATTTCACAGCAATAATACCGTATTTAGTGCCAATGGGTGTTATATAGTAACCATACATTCCAAAAGGAAGGATCTTACAAATTACAAAGCCCCAGCTCTGTTAAAAACTTCTGTTAATTGGAGATGTCAAGGGGCCATCATTAGGTAGAGCTTTGTTCCCTTTGATAGGGTAGCTTCTAATCAGTTAACGGTTATTGTAAAATGGTATTAAAATTTAACTCGTGGCGTGAATGGTATGATCATGAGTGTTTAGCTAGATAGTTGGCATCCCAGTCCAATCTGATCCATAGTTGGACTTTTTTTTTTTTTTTTTTCTCTTCCCTGAATTTTGGAATGGATACTGACTATCATTTTTCTTTCAATGCAGGCAGGTTTGGAAGTCGATATTGTGGCCTATGGAGGTTTGTATGTTTTATTGAATAGATATTCAATAGTTCGCTAATAGTTTCGTTTGAGTTGCATTGAATTAGTTGATCAGCATCCAGTATGACTATTTTGAAATGCTTGTGATCAATTTCTTAAGTATAAATGCATCCCGCATAAACACAATGTTTTTCTGTCTCGTATCAGTTGGTCTGTTCACTAACCATACCAACATACTAGATGCCATTTTCTTGGCTTCTTAAACATGATACTGAGTTCCTTGTCATATGGCGCTCTTCTTGCCTTGCACTATTAGATGTCAAATGTTAACTATTATCTCATTCGATCATCTCCTTTAAATTGATTAGTTAAGGTAAATTGAATATTACTCCAAGACTTTCTTTTCCCCCTTTTCTTTAAATGTGAGCATACTTGACTTACTTAGATTAATCAATTTTTGTTTGTTATTGGCATTTGGCAGTTCAATGCATTATGAGATTGATTCTTCTTTTTGTGATTTAATGCATTCAACTTTGTTAGGTTCGGACCCACATTCTGCCTTGTTACAGCACAAATCTATACATCTGCATAGAATGGTACAACTACCAGATTGGTTTTGGTTTGTGATGCGTACACATGGCACCAGTTTGTCATATTACGTTCTTTAACATTTGCAGCTGCTGATTTCTGCAGACACAATGGCCATCCATTCCTCAAAATTTTCCAAAGTTATTTCGTCCCTTAATGCTCGTGTTCAAAGCGTTAGTGCAAACCTGTATGCTCCTTTGGTATCTTTGTTATAGGATACCTGCTCCTGATGTTTTCTTAGTTCAGGTATGTCAAACTTTGTTATCCTGTAAATGTTTCTAGTGTATATATAAGCATGCTGTGTGTTAATGTTGCTTATGGTGGCCTGAATCGTGCTGTCTGTCTTGAGAGTATGTATTCTCCTTAACTGGTTCATGAGGAAGTTAATCATAGGGACTGATTCCCTTTTTTGCTGCTGCAGTAAATTTTTTTACATGTTCTTTAAGCTGCAGCAATAATTTAGGTTGCATGGTCTCTACTATTGCAGAACCCTCCCTCAGTACCTACATTAGTAGCTGTAAGATGGGCCAGCTGGCTGAGACATTCAGCTTTTGTTATAGATTGGCATAACTTTGGTTACACACTTCTCGCATTGAGTCTTGGGAGGACTAGCATTTTTGTAACTATATATCGATGGTGAGAGTTCCTGTTCATTCTTTTGTTTTGAAGTTTGGTTTTCGTCATCATTTGTTTGTAAATTTATTAACTTCCCAGGATCGAGAAGCATTATGGGAGGATGGCAAATGGTTCCTTATGTGTAACAAAGGCTATGCAACATGAATTGGAACAGAACTGGGGGATCAAGTAAGCATGTGAATTTCCATTGTGCTGTAGTTCTTTCTGTTAGTAGCAGCTATCAAGAAGTTCATAAAGTTTAATCATCTATCATTCTCTTTTCTGATGTCCCAGAGCCACTGTCCTTTATGATCAGTCACCCGAATTTTTTCGGCCTGCTTCTCTTCAAGAGAAGCATGAGGTATTACCTAGTTTTTAACTTCCCTTTCCTTTACTTGAAGGTTGTTCAATCCCCTGTTGCTTGTCAATGTTTAACTCATAAGTATGGATTCTAGCTGTTTTGTAGGATTGCCGACAAGCTTAACCAACCATATGATCTTAAAGACTGCATAAGTTATGGTACTATAAATGGAAATTCGTTGGAGTTTATGTTCAAAGAGTTTAGTCATTACTCTTATTAACTCATACAATTGGTGGGACTACAGGAAGTGGTGAGAAAGATCCAAGTTCCACTCTATTTACAACTAAAGTTAGCGAAGATGTAACTATGAAGCAGAACAGACCGGCAGTCATCATTAGCAGCACAAGCTGGTAAGTGTTCGCCAGAATTTTAAATGTATTGTACTTAGTAGTATATGATTTGTTCTTGATGAGTTATCATCATTCCTTCTTTAATAAAAGGGTATCAAAAATTCAAACTATCGAAGCTACCAAATTGTTATCTCTCATTCTGAAGAACATGATGTTTTATGTTTGGGATCATTAACTGACTCTATGACTGATTCAGAATTCATATAAGAAATGAACCTCTGTAGGCTTGAACATTTCTGTCACTTGTTTTTACTTGATCCCGAAACATTTGAAATTGGAAATTAAGGGATAAAAGTCATCAGATCATGTTTCGGCTTATCTCTTAAAATAATGAGCTTTCTTTTAGCATTTTATTGGTTCATACACATAAGGAGCTAGCAATCAAAGAGTTCAATGATATATTCCCAGACAATGGTGGCTGCTACCATCACGCACAAATAATTTATAAAACAGATAAGGTGGTCCATCTGTTTGTGTGCGTGTGTGGATTAGTTTCTGATTCTGAACAAATGATTATCAGGACTCCAGATGAAGACTTCAGCATCCTTTTGGAGGCAGCACTCATGTATGATAGAAGGGTGGCAGGTTTACATAATGAAAATGACTCGATTGAGGAGGAAATTTTGTGGAATGAAATTTGTAATGGAAAGCAATTTTTGTATCCAAGGTTGTTATTCATAATTACTGGTAATGACAGTTAATTTGTGGTTACATTTTTGGGGTACATAGGACGACATAGTTTTCTTGATGACTTACATTGTTTGAAAAATTGAAAGGCAAGGGACCTGAGAGAGAGAAATATGAACAGAAGATAAGGAAGTTGAAACTCAAGCGAGTAGCATTTCGCACTATGTGGTTGTCCGCAGAGGATTATCCATTACTTCTTGGTAAGCTCATTGTAGTTGTAATACTTCTGATGGTTTACACCCAAAACTAATGATTGTTCAAATTCCCTTTTGATTAAAGGTTCAGCCGACCTCGGTGTTTGTCTGCATACATCTTCATCGGGGCTGGATCTACCAATGAAGGTGTGTGCCAGATCCTTTGAATTTTCTTTTTCATGACTTATGAACCTGAAGTTACTATCGAAGTTGCTAAATCTCATATTTCAAGTTTGATCTCTTAGGTCGTGGATATGTTTGGCTGTGGATTACCAGTTTGTGCAGTTTCTTATTCTTGGTGAGATGTCTTTTTTTAAACCTGTTTGCAATTTAATCTCATGGATTTGAAGTCGTGCACGTGTTGATATATCTGGTTTTTGCCAGCATCCAGGAACTTGTTGAAGTTGATAAAACTGGCCTGCTCTTTTCATCATCATCTGAACTTGCAGATCAGTTGATGGTAAGTTCCATGTAACCCATTAGAGTTTTCCTCTGGTGCATGAGTTTGATTATAAAGAACTAATCCGATTCCTCGACATATTACCATTTGTTTTTTTCTGATGCTGATGAAATCATCTTAGATGAGGTAATGGACCGATGGTTTCGAGCCAAAAAGATTAGAGGTTCCGTTAAATAGCCAACTTAAGCCATTTGCACTCAACTTATAATTGCCAATTGTAACTGAAATGTCCTATTGGGAACATGTAGTCGGTTTACAATAATGAAAAGGAAAAGAACTGGGGATAAGTTGTTAATAAAGTTCTTATTGTAACATTGCACCATTGTTATATTTTTGCTATTGACGTTTTGTAACCACTTAAAATGGATGATTATAATTTCAGATGCTATTCAAGGGGTTTCCAGATGAATGTGATGCATTGAGTTCGCTGAGGAAGGGTGTGTTAGCAAAGGCATCTAGTACAAAGTGGGCAACTGGATGGGAAGAAAACGCAAAGCCTTTACTATCCGAGGTATGTTAATTCGTCTCCTCTTCAAGTAGTTAGTGAAAGAAAGTTTTAATAAAAAGATTTCATGAGTATCTTTTGTGGTAGTTTTGTTAGTTTCTCTTGAATTTCAACACTTGCCCTTAAATTTTTCTCTCGAAACAATTGGAACTATCACATGGTTGTAATAGAATGATAAAATCATTTCAGATGTCCATTGAAGATTTTCCAGTACTAACGAATTTGCAACTCGAACCTTCTTTTTGTTTCTTTTTGTGTACAGATAGTATTGAGTAGTTTTGAAAGTGGCTTGATGTGAATCAAAGGGTGTCGCTACTGTTTAAACTGAGTGGGAAAAGGTTCTAATTATTGGAATAGAGGAGCCATAGATGAGTCATCCTATATGCATAACCTTTAACTCTTTTTTTCACAATTCTGTAATTGATGAGCCACTTCTGTATGATTGAGTTGTGTGCGTAGTGTGCCACAAAGCATTACTAGGAAGGTGTTTATTTAATTAGATCAAATGTAAGCATACACATGTGGTTTACCTTTTCTGTGAGATTTTACATGCTTATTCATTTTCTTAAAATTCTGCTGCTTTGTTGCAAGTTCAACTAATGCACATTCTTCCGTCTTTTTTTAACAACAATACTAATGCCTTAACAAATGATTTTTTATTGAATAGAGGAAGGGTTATTACTTATTAGATAGAGGGCTGCTCGCTTAAAACTTAGTTTTGAACAATTTTAAAAACACATTAGCGGACATTTCGTCTCTGAACTCACAATTTTCTCTATGGACGTGGTGCTTGTTGCTGCCTTGTTCTTTTTTTGTGTGCATACTTGGAACTTTATTGGTCAGTCCATGTAATGGATATTTTATTGATGTCGTTTGTACTCTCATTGTCTATGGTACATACTCGATACTATAAACTTCTGGTAGCATATATTCGCCACCATCATCTTACCACAAATTGAACTGTTGCAGGTTATTTCTCATAACTTCAGCTGATGCAGATGTCTGAACCGCTGTCTGTGTGAGTATGTGGAGAGAACTATGGTGGCTCCTGTTGGTGAACGTAATTTACGGCGCCTGTTTCAAATCGATTGAAAACAGTTATAGAAGCCAATTATGAAAATTTTGGATTTTGTGTGTGCTAGCTCACAATGTTCGACAGAGATAGGTAGCTGATTCAAAGCCGAGAGAGTTCTAGTAATATTCTTCAGGTCTCTGTTTGGACCCGATAACGTTTCACTTTCGATTCAATTTGCAGTTGAATGAACAAATGATTCAACCTTTATTTGGGTTAACTGAGATTTAATTCAACCCAAGTTATAGTTTAAATTGTTTTTTCATCATTCAGAATATCATCTGATCATTTGAAACACTCATGCCATGAATTAAGTATAAAGATCACAGAAATGGAAGTGGCTAAGGGCCAGTCGATTAATGGTTTAGTCTTCCATCCTTGTGGGCCGTGCTGGTTCACTGGCCATTGCCGCCTACAGGTTTTCACAGAAGCCCAAACCAAGTTAATGGAAGCATAAATTGTGGTTGTTACGGTGTATGAATTTTGCCTGCTTAATTGCCTTTCTTTTGCCTGCTCAAGCAACACCTTAAAAACATAACCATAATAGTAATGGTACCAAATTTGTAAGTTATAGCTATTCATTTCTCCGCCTTTACTTTGATTACAACATCGTTTCATATATGAAGGGTAAAAATGGTAGATTATTATAATTATTATCACGTTATAGCGAGTGCAAAATCTTTTTGAAGCAATCCAATTTTCTTTTTTTCAAAATTATTTTCTAACAAAATTGATTACACATGAGGATATTAACACCCTCATTGGGGCCACTGAAATAATGTTACCTATCTTTTTATCTTCTTTTTCTTAATTTGAAAAAAAAAGGTTTCTTAATTTGTATCTGTCCGTACAAGTGGATAGACACCAATTCACATGAAAAGGGAAAAGAGCCGGAAAAAAATAGGAGTTGTATGCAATAACAATTTTTAAACTCATCTATAATGTAATCCTTATTCCAACTTGACACATGTAACCCACCTCGTCTCTATCCATAACCAAATATATATAGCAAAATAGAGGGGAAAAAAATAGTTAAACAATTAATGAATAAATTTATCAGATGAGAGTAACAGTTGGGCGAACTACAGCTACATTTCCTGAAATTTGAGGGAAAAAAGTTAAAAACTAGGAAACAAACTTTAAATCCGTGAAAATGTGAGACAAATCTTAAGACTGAAGGTTTTAGCTATTTGGTATCATTCATCGTCGACCAAACCTACGAGATACCTTTGATAAGCAAAGAACATGATGGTTTTGATGTTACAGTTATACCAATGGATAATCGTTTAGATTCAAATGTAAAAAAAAAAAAAAAAAAAAGAAAGAAAAAGAAAAGGTTTATGGTGTATGAGAAACTTATTTGATAATTGATATTGCTGATTTTGATAGAAAACAACTATTTCCCGATTGAAATCAAGACCATCATTCGATAACCAAACCTCAACAATGTTGCAATTAATTGGACCATTCAATCTTGCAATCACACCATCTTTCTAGTTAAGGACTTTAGGAGTCGTATACAATTTCGAGAGGGAGTACATTACTAAATTTCAAAAGCTTCAATTAATAATTTCGCAAAAACTAGGAGAAGTGAGTGTAATTTGGTTTCTCATCCTGAAATGATTATTCTGTTTAAATTTCTTTTCTTAATACAAATGAAAATCGAAACAGAATAATCATTTTTGCAAGGAATCGAGTATAATGTATACACAGTAGTTGAATAAAATAGTACACACGCTTAAAAAATTGTTCTTTTCTTTAATTAAATACGCAGTTGTCACGTTTCTATGCATCCAACAACACAAGTGATACAACTAGCTTTTTTACAAAGCGTATTAATTAAATTATCACAAGTTTTTTTTTTAATATATAATTCGAGAAATGAAAAAAGGTCCTAGTCATTCCTTTTAAACCAAATATATGAAGTCTCAAAAGGTATACTAATTAACTACTAAAAAAATCTCATGCAATCGAAACCTACTTCTTTCAATTTGTCTTTTCTCAACTGAAAAGTAGGTAGATATTTATATATTACGCCTAACAATGATCTATATATAAATAAAAACTACTATTTTTTTTTTCCAGTAGCGGAACCAGATTTGTAGAATGAAGGAGCGAAAAATATGTAAAATTATTTAATTAGCAAGGGGGAAAATAAAAAAATATACAAATTCAGATTAAAATTTTAAAGAAATCCTTTTAAAAAAATCAGAGGACTCTAGTTCAGTCACAATTTCTCACGTCCAATATTAATTTACTTTCTGAAACTAGTATTAGACCAATTAATGCAGTATAAATTAAATAGTTACGCGCAGCATTTTCTGGTACTATGTAAATCAGACTAAAATAGTAAAGAATATTTAGAATAGTTTCATTGTCTGTACAAATATCCTAGGTCACCTTTTTCTTTTTCTTTTTTTTTGTGGCCAATATTAAATTTTTTAAAAATCACACTTTTCCTACATTAAAGAAGTAAAAGGGGCACTAAAATAAGCCGCGTGAAAGGATTAATCCAATTTGAAATTAATTCTTTTTCTTTCTTCTGAATCGAAAGGAAAAAAAAAAAAGAAAAAAGAAAACTGGAAAAGACTGATTATGTTGGACACAATTAATTAAAAAGAAGATTAGGATTTAGGGAAGAAGAAGAAGTCGGTTAATCTGTCTCCCGCCAACAATCGGTACTACTGGAAACGCGTGTCAGTTGAAAGACGGTGCAAGAAAGGGGGAACCAAAACTGTCACGTTTTTAAGATTGGGAATATGAAAAAGCGTTGCGCTTTCCTTCTTTGGTGGAATTAATTGGAAAATAATATATTTAGTAATATATAAATCGTGGCAAAATATGAAAGGGCTATTCGCCAGTCGGCCTCTATTCCTTAATAATTGAGGCAGTTGTTTTAAGCCGTTGAACAGTTAAGATTTTTGATTTGACAGATTAGGTTTTGGATAAACTGGAGTGCTTTTAAAAGGGCTTTCGTTTATGTTCGTTCTTTGTATTTTGATGATAACTAACTTGAGGGCATGTCTTAATCCTTAAATGTCCACCTCCAATTATTAAATTTTGGGCAGCCCTTCATTTTTTGAGGAGTCAATTTTTATATTTTTATTTTTCATTTTAGTTTTATTTTGCTTCTTTTCTTTTGAGTCAACTTTTGAGCTAACTAGGATGGATTAAATGATTAAAGACATACTAAAAAAAAGTAGGGTTTTCTTTGGATTTTTGTTTACTTATGTTGCATAGGTGTTCGTTTTTGGTCATTTTACAAGTCCATTTCTTAATGAATCTTTGTCTCCCTAGCTAGCTAGTTTGGTTTTATTAGAAAAAGCAACGTACACCGCGTTGTAAAACGAACATTTACAAATTACAATTCGTGGAAGTTATACGACATAAATTAAAAACAGAAAAACTAATATATTATGATGGAAATTATGATATACAGACAGTGTTATTACCGTCTTATTCAGTCGGTGTAGAAATTAAAAGTGATGCTTTTATAATGAAATAATATTTTGAGTAATATCTTACCGCCACGGTCAATGCAGTTCACACACATTTCTGAAATTGGAAAGCGGAGCTGCCAAATTTGTCAAAGCCCTTTCTTTTCAAGGAAAAATATTTTGACCAATATCAACAGGATTAATCGCCGTTACTTCATTTTGGCTTTCTATAAGATGGAAAATGGAGATAAAAACGGATCGAAGTGCATTCATGAATGAACTTTGAACTTTGGATCTGAAAGTCTAATTTACGTATGATTGATTTAGGCTTGAGAATTTAAAAGTTCTAACCACAGTCAAACTTGCCTTTCTTTATGACGATATTTGCCACAAAAAAAAAAGTTACCTTCAACAGAGGTTTGACGAGTAATGATCTTAGTTCGATTAGCCTTTTGATCATAAGGGAAATCAATTGAAAATTTTCGACTTTGATAGATTGGACTATTCATATGAGAGATGAAAATTGATGGAAGAGTATAAGCGTAACTATGACTAAACTCAAACCACAGGAGCAATAACGAACCATGAAGGAAACAATTATTCTTTTCTTAGTTCTACGTATCAAGCCACTAGTTGGTTATTTTAAAGTAATTACCAAGGATCAACTAAAGAGGATTATGTTGTGGAAAAATAAGTAATAACTTATGAGCCTAAAATTCTTTCACTAATCGATGAGCGTCAACTTATTTTAGGTTTTAGGTGCAAAAAGGCCTAAAAAGGCAAAGCAAT